AGATAGAAAGATTTAAGTATGTGAACGCTGACAGGCCGCTGCCGTCGGGACAGGAGGGGGATATTGTCATCGATTTACATTTCCAGTCTTTGAAGAGTGTTGAAGAGGCTCTGGACTTCGTAGGCTGCTGCGTGTAGCTCGTTGAGAGCAACTGGTTGTTCCTTGTGGAGGCGCAAGAAGCTGGAGTGATACCATTTCGAGCGGAGTACCTGTATAGTGGTTATATATAGGTCGTGTATATATGAAAATATCGAAAAAATATCAAAATCATAAAATATCTAAATATCATAACTTCCTATGAGTCGTGTAAATTTGGCGAATCATATTAAGACGTATTATCGACGCCTCAGTAGAGAGAGGAGGAGTGTTCGATCATCTTCAGCAGCTTGAAGCAATACCATAATTCCGTCATATCAGGCTCTGGACTTTGCGCTTTGGAGGCATCCATGCCTATCTGTCTGGGTTGTTACCGGCGTGGGAACGCATGTGCCTGAAGGACATCAACGTAAAGGAGGGGTCTTATTCGAAGCTGTTAAAGAGGTGCGCGGTGGGCACTTTTGTCTCAGTGTGAGCTTGTTGAGATGAGTAGTGACACTTGTCTAACTTAACAAAAACCGTTAACACTAGTCTAGGGTTAACAGTTTGTGTTACGCTTGAGTCCCGGGTTGGGTGGGTGCGGTATCGTCTATTATGCGGATTAGTATCTGTATGGGAGAAACGATTTTGAATGAATAGCTATTCCCTGGCGTGTAGCAGTTCGTTGTGTGTTGTTTTTAACAGCGCTCGTAGTGTAACGGTATCATACAAGCTTCCCATGCTTGTGTCCCGGGTTCGACTCCCGGCGGGCGCAGTTTTTCTCTTGCCTTTAATACTCGTCCGTTTTTTCAGTCCATTCTCCATCGGTTATCAACCACATCTCCCTATATCGTGAGGCAGATTCTCGTAGGACTAGACGCCAACGGAAGACCCGGCGCGTTATGGATAAAAAAGAGTCTCCATCGCTAACTTCTCACAAGGGGCTTGTGTTCACCCTCTCGCCGGACTTGTGATAATTGCATACCACTCCTTGGACTGATCTTGATCAATGCGACATCACCTTATAAGAAGTGTCCCTAGTCTGACTCCGAAAGTCCCTTTACGTGTCGAGGCCGCTTCCATTCTTTCGTACTCCCCACGAGCCCTTGAAGAAGACGCAGGAGGTGGACAGGCGTTCTTAACTCGACGTTCGCATTACTGGAGGCCGATCAGCGGCGTTGTCGGTGCTCGCCCGGAGGATTTTATACAAAGTCAAATAACAGCTAGAGGTAGAGGAAGCATTTGTCGGCTGTTGCGCTGGGGAGTTTCCTCACTGATTATGGGAGACTACGTACGAGTTCGGGTAGAAGTGGACAGAAACCAATGGGAATTTCCCAAAATTTTGATACCCTCCCTCGACGTGTAGTTGACCATGTGCATGTTTTTCTACACCGCTACATGGTATCGACTACAGCTAGAAAATTATTTACTGATCGATTTGACTACTGCATGCAGGAACCTATAGTCTTTCGGGGGGAGGAGAAACTCGTTTTTAATTTTTCCCACATGGCTAGGGAAACACTTCCCATGTAAATGGCATCACATTAGAAACATTTTTCTTACCGAATTCTAGCAGGCGTTGTCTTTCAAAGCTATGTGGGATCCTCACTGCAGGTACAGTTGAGTTGCGTAATATAACTTTACCTCCCGGGAAGAAATATCGGCAATACATAATGCAGAGTAGCGGCTTGGGTACAGTCGATGCAGTAAGGCTCATAGAGAAACGCTGCCATCTCGAGTCGGGGACTCTGAGGGTCGCCCGAAAACGTCGAAGTGTCTATGGCACGACAGTGCAGCTGGTCTCGTCGATAGCCGAGGCGGACCTCAGCGACTTCGAGCAAGGTAGCGATGGTGTCTATATAGGGCCGGCACCGAAGCTGTGGTTGGATGAGGAGGCTAGGAGGAGTGTCGGGCAGCGGTACACTTGCGTGGTGAGGGGCGTCTCGACGAGTAAAGACACCGTGGAAGGGAGAATCAATGCGGTTATTGAGTCTGGTGTGGCGAACTTCTGGGCACCGGACAAGTTTGGCAAAGCTGAGATAAGGACATATGAGCTGGGAGCGAGGCTCTTGAGGGGCGACCATTTAGGGTTCATTCGCTTACTAGTTGGTGCCAACAGGCATGAGACATCTCGGACATGGGAAGCATATCAAGTAATACTAGGGTGTGAGGAATGTTGAGGCGATTACGGTATGACGGTTTCGAACTACACCATTGATCGTGTAAAAAAATTTAGTATTCCTATGAGGTTTTACTCCTAGGAGTGATATCTTATTAACCTCCAACGTCAGAGGTGCTCCTCGGGGGTTATCTACGCTTCAGCTAACCTCGGGTCTATTATCATCATCATGAGAGTGCTAGTGCCTATGGGGCATTCCAGAGGGGAGGGGGACCCGACGAACCGTCAAGCTTACCGTCAGGCTGATGGTTGGGCGAGTGTCGTCGAAAATTGAGCAGTTTTGCTCCTAGGATGATATTTCGGTTCGATTGGATCATCACCATGCTCATCAGGCCTTCCAAAGAGGGGATCTCTCCGCATGTGCTGTAGCCCTACCAGCGGATGCCTGTAGACTCACTACTGCTGTTGTTATGATGCTCAACAAAACAGGAGATGCAGTGGGTGGTCCATCGTAGTAGTAGTAGTAGGGGCCTTGAGTCAGCAGCGCTCAGGAGGCGGCAATGCGAGCCGTGCCGACGTCCATGAGATGGTCGCTGAAAAAAGCAGTTGACGCTTACGTGTGGAATCAAGTGGCGAAATTCAGACTTAACTCGATGTTGACGGATCACGCAGTTGAAGGTGACCTTATACTGGGCGGCTACATGTGGTGGGGAGAAAAGAAAATTTTTGGACATTTTTTGTACCCGAATTCACCTGTTAACTTGTGCAATTAGTGGGAGAACTCCTGAGCTTAGCTGAGAAAGGGAAAGGGGTCTTTGTAGGAGACTGGGTCCTACTGGATGGAGGCTCGGTGACACGGGTGACGGCACGAGAAGCCAGGAGTAAAGCGCATCCGCTGAGTCGGGTGCTCCTGCCGCTGTGTCCGACATCGGAGGTGAGGAGTTGCCGCGGGAGCGGTCACGCCTGGATGATCGATATGTGTCTTTCGAGTTCGGCTAGCACTGGAAGGGGAGAAATTTGCATTTTTCTCCTCGAATGTTGTCGGAAGAAATAGGATAGTCGAGGCTCCATCGGGGTATACCCATCGGCAGTCCGACTTCGCAGTGTACATATTCGATTCTAAATTCAGTGCACTTGAAATGGATTTCGGCAATGTGAGCAGACATAAGGCTTATGTATTAGACTTTCCTCGGATGCTAACGGCGGTCTCGACAAGTCATCTCCAGTGTGGAGGGTCCTCTCTTGCCGTTGCAACGTCAGTGTACGATGATATTTGCGGTGTGGGAAAATATGCGTATGGTCACCTTTGTGTGTTGACGACGATGGGAGAAAATTCGGGGAATTATATACTCTTTTGCTGCACCTCCATAGTGTAGCGAAGAAACTTGTGAGCTCGGCTGAGGAAACTAGACGTATATTTTTATGGTGCTCATTAGTTGCCTCAGGTGGAGCCCCAGGACTATCCTCTCAACGCTGCGGCATTCGCGTATACCAAGGCTAGGGAGAATCTAGGGTTGCGCGATGTTGATTTCAAGGAAGCTACAGCACGGGTAGGGTAGGCTGTAGTAGGAGGCTCTTGTTCATACCAAGAGTGTGCAGATGGGGATAAAGGAGAAGGGAGACGCCCAGGAGAATTTATTGCTGTATCGGCCTCTGGTGGCGTTCCCTACTGAAGTGCAATGGGATTTGATAACGAGTCCGGTCGGGCAGCCAGTGGTGGCGACTGACGTTGTTCGCAATGGTTTAATTGGTGGGGTGGGGGAGCAGTCGTCCAGTTGGTCTCCATGCGAAAGGTCCATGGTTCTATTCCAGGGTATGTTATTTTTCAGACCACCCAGTGTCGATGCCCAATAATGATGGCCCTGTAGGAGGGCGGAGGCGCCCTTCCAGATCCGAGACCTGCCTGCGGCTGAGGTGAGCTCAACTGGAGGGTAGAAGCATCGGTAGTCCGACCCGCCGCATATTAATCAGGTTTACACTCGAGCAGGCGCACGATTGTGGAGGACGAATGGTCTTGCGAGAAATACTCCAACGACCTGTGTGTGAATTCATGCCCACCTCGATGAACCGAGAGGACTTACTTTTCTGACGTGTTTCTGCTTTGGGCATTTGATCCGTGTTTGGGGTGCTCCGTGAACTTCAAGCCTATAGTTGTCTTCTCACATGCCAGCTCCTTCCCAGTCATCATCATCGTTTCCCTCTACTACTACCACAGCCCTCCTAAGCGTGGCTATCGGGGGCCTTGGGGTAGCTGCTGTATCCTTGGCCCGGTATAGACGCCGGTCTAGACCAGGTGGGTGACAGTACTCATTCGCCCTTATACTGGCGTTCTAATACGGAGCGGTGTTCCTAAGATGAGTTTTTCTGAATATTTTCGTATGTCGTTTCTTATATGACGAACGGCACAATACTCGATCGTTTAGAATTATCATCCATCTGCAGCACAGAGTCTTCAGCGATGCATTTGCGTCTCACTAAAGACCACTGTGGTTTAAAAATGTATAGTATTTTTATGGAATTCGTCAGGATGAGTATTATTTCAGAGGACAAGCCGAGTGGGAGGTGTGGAGGCTGGTGGGCACTAGTCGGCAATACTCCACTTATCCGAATCGACTCCATCTCGGAGCTCTTGGGTATGTCACGCCCTGGGGGTTCCCTCTAATGCTCAGCTGTAGGTTGTGATGTTTACGCCAAATGTGAATTTGTGAATCCCGGGGGCTCTGCGAAGGACCGCGTGGCGAAGATGATAGTAGCTGATGCGGAGGAGAAAGGTCAGTTGAAGGCTGGGGGGACGATCTATGAGGGCACCAGCGGCAGCACTGGCATCAGCCTAACGTAAGGTGGATTGTTCATGGATTGGCAACGGTACATGGTCAACTTCATGACAATATGAAAATTGTGGTAAATTCCTATTGGTTTCTTGGTATGCTTTTCCACCTTCGCGTGTTAAGTCCTGAGGTCAGCTGAGGAAAGCGAACATACATTCCCTTAGCATGTGCACTCTGTTGTTAATCGTGGGTAGGGGAGTTACTATGCTATTGTGGGGGATTGGGTCGATCGTATGTGCTGAATCTGTGCCAACAGGAGGGAATGATGCACTCTGGTGATTTCAGAATGGCGGGCCTAGCGCGGGGCTACAAGACGGTGATATTCATGCCGGACGATCAGGCCAAGGAGAAGTCGGAGCTCATTGAGACTCTCGGGGGAGAGGTAACCATTCCTTTGGTAGATTAGTTTCTGGTGATGTTCATCCGGAATCTCCCAAATTAGTGCAACTGTTATCATCGTCCCTCAGCAGTAGCGCATTGGAAGTAGAGTATTGACAGGTGCACCTGTGTCGTCCCGTATCGATAGTTGACCCCGAGCATATGTGTAAGCTTGCTGAGAAGGCAGCTGAGGAGGACCCTGGGGGATTTTATGCTGGTGAGTAGCGGGTATTTTCTATATCCTGTGTCGTGGTGGTGGTAGCCCCTAAATGCGCTGAATTCGTCCTATATTCGATCCCACTATTTTCCGTCAGTGAGTAGTGATAATATCACTGTGATATCCTACTGCTCCTACATAGTCGCATGCTGCTCAGTTCGAGTAGTGTGGCAGCTGATTAATTTCACGTTGATGAGAAGTAGCGTGTTTTCGAAATATCGATTTTTCGGAATCGCCTATGGAAAAAATACACTTCTTCTAAAACGGTTTGCGAAGAACCATAGAACGTATATACAGTGGAGTTTCACCCATTTTACGTGAAGTGGCGTAAAACTCCGTGAGAAACGCGATATTTGCGCTTTGCAATAGTCCTGAAATATGTTTTTCACTAGTGTTTTTCATATCACTAGGGTGGAACTACAGTATAACGGCTGTACAACTCTAATTCCTGGCTCTAGGGATTGACCCTGCGAGTTCGTCATTCAACTCCCTTGAATGGATCTTTTGAATGAATGAGAATTCTATCGGACTTTATACCCTTTGCCATGCTGGCGTTCCACTAGCGGTAAATTGGATGTAGATTGTGGGGCTTGGGTTCAGATCAGTTCGAAAACGAGTCCAATTTCCGGGCGCATTTCCTCGGTACAGGGAAGGAGGTTCTCGAGCAAACGAAGGGTAAAGTCGATGGTAAGAAGGAGTGCTTCTGACTCTGATCGAAATGAGTCCTCTACTCTCAGCGTTTGTAACTGCAGCTGGCACTGGGGGGACATTGGCGGGTACCGCTGCTCGACTGAAGAGCGAACTTGGTGACGATCGAGTGACGGTTATACTGGCTGATCCACCGGGTAGGTCGGGGCCATCTCATTGGAAGGGTTGTTTGACCTGCACCAAAGGGGTATGGGTTGTGTGGCTGGTCAGATGGGTTTTCGGGTCTCGGAGACCAGAAGCTCATCTGAGCCGCAATCTGAGACAAGAGGCTGACAGAATAATTCTTCTCAGCCACTTGAACTCAGATCTCCCTTTGGGCGGGTTGGTGGGAAAAATATTATCAAACTAAAACGACAGGCAACATCCAGCTTCTATTGGCCCCATCGGTTATTAGCCTAGCTTCCTGGTCACACAAAACTTCAATGAGCGCTCGCCTCGATCAGCGTTTGCCTTGACTCTAGACTATCCTCCCCCTTTTGTTACATTGCAAACAACTTTGGTCACCGTATCTGGTGACCTCCAATAAAATGGTACAGTATTTGTTGCTGATACATTTGCAAAGTTTACGTTCTCTTAAGTCGGAAGGTATTTTTGGGGCGTTCGAAGATCCAAAAATATCACACTGCGCGCGCTATTCTTGAAGCGCACTAGGGGGATCGCAGGTTCGAATCTTGGTGAGAACTTTTTCCGCGATATTGCTATGGCTGGAAAACAGTTTGTCATAAATAAGTGGACTGTATGCTGTTGCCTCTGACGGCCCCTCCATTCGCGACTGCGATGACCTCCTTTACGATAGGTTCCGCCTTAGCTCGTCGTATCAATACAGGAGTGCTATTCAATGAACGTGACAAGGAGGGCTACCGAGTGAGGCATCCATTCGATACTGTAACGGAAGGTATAGGCCTTGGCCGACTCACACACAACTTCACCCTTGGTACGCACCCCTCTCCCCAATGGTGCCTTCATCGAGAGTTCTCTATCAGGCTTGCCCTTCATCGACCATGCTGTGTCCATCTCGGACACCGAGGCTGTGCGTATGTCAAGATGGCTCCTTCGCGAGGATGGTCTCTTCGTTGGTAGCAGCGGTAGCTTGAATGTCGCTGCGGTTGTTAAAGCGTAAGTTGGTAGAGCCATTGAGGAACTCGGAGGAGTTCATATCGAGCTCACTATTCTGGAACAGAATTGTCTTGCTCATTGAGATTTGCTCGACGAATCTACCCGTGTGGTATAACGGCTCAGTGCCGCCCTCTACCAATGTCCATCAGCCGATCGTTTTGCCTCGTTCGCTATATGCACGGCTGGTCATGGTGTTACGCAGATACAAGCGTGGCTACATCAAGCCGGGCCAACGAGTGGTGACGATTGTGTGTGACAGTGGCATGCGGCACTTGTCGAAGTTCTGGAATGACGCCTATTTAGCCTCTTTCGACGGCCTTGTTATCCCTGTGGATGAAAAATACCAGACTCCTTTACAGTTTGTTCACACTGAGTAATGTTTCATCATGAAAGCTCTCGAGTTGTCACTGCCTCAAATCTGCCTCCCATTTTTGATCCTGTTCGTCCCATGCTTTGGGAAATGATATGAGGAACTTTCCACTTAACCCTGCCAGAGCAGATAAGCCTAGGTGGCTCTGGATTCAACGATATACATTTCTTATAATCCTTGAGTGAACGTACACATAGTGGCGGTGGGTATAAAATTTTTACCCCAGTTATAGGCGAACTCGAGATCAATCCGGCGGTAAACCAAGCTGTCGGGCGAGTAAAAAATGCGTCACTCATTTTCATTTTTCCCGGCTCTGAGTATTCACGTGCCACTACGCGACTGCCAACTCAAGACAATTGTTGATCATAAAAATATATAGTACTGGACTATTCACTAATCATCCACTTAATAGCCGTCATGCACATCGCAACTGCTACCACTGGCCCAACGTGTTCTCGCTGCTGTACGTGACATACCTTCCCACAAGAGGCAACTCCCCTTCATCAAACCACAGACTTTAACTTACAGAAAACCATCCTCATCTTTGAACTTCTCATATAATTCGTTCATGGTATCTCCTAAAACGCCCTCATATCGATCGCGAGGTTGAATCGCTCTTACCGGTTTTGGGCACGACGTTCTTCCCAACAAAAAGGTAAATAGTCTCGTTAGACGAGTGCTTAATTGCCGCATCTGAACGACAAACAAAAACGAAGTGTTTCCAAGACACTTTACTCACCTCTGCCGTTTTCTTCCGACTGCGCATCAACCGTATCAGGCCTGAAGATACTCTTATGAACTATGTACTTGAATTCACCGCAGAGCATGTTTCCCGGAACCAAAAACTTCTGTTTTTCAATATCCGGCAACTCGCTTCTGTCATGCCTGAACAAGCATGGTCATTCAGTTTTTGATGAGGTATCTCACTTCTCTGCGATCACTGGGATCCTCTCTGGGTATTTCTGCAGAATTTTCTGCGACTCATTCTGACGCTTTTCTGAACTTGTGAATAACCCTAATCTCGTACTTCATCATCACGACCTACCCAAGCAATGCTTGCTACGATACGAACTTGTTTGTGGAGTCGCCATCGGCTGTTGAAAACGTTACACGTCTCTGAAGACCGCCTTAAGCCGCATCCCCGACAATTGAACAACTCGACAAAACAAATTGTTTTTGTTTGCGCGGAAAATCCCCTCCCTTCTAACTCTTATGTCGGACACTCAGAGCTTCTTAACGTTTTCATCTACTACAGCTTCAACAGTCCATGAGGACGACAGCAGTAGGTGATAATAATGGGAAGTAATGAGATGAACACCGGAGGACCAACGACACAGAGTAAACAACGAAGAGGATGGTGAAGTTGCTCAGCGACCCGAAGGCTTCATCGCGATCAAACAAACACTTGACGTAGGACTTGGCGTAGTTGATAACATAACCCCGCTATCTCGATAAACGGCTCGAAAGCCCCTGATGAGAAGGTGACGAGATGTCATCAAAGAATACACCAACGTAGATGACCGTCATCGAATGATTATTATTTGGGCAGCAAGAATACTTGGGGAGAACCTCTTGGATCTTGCCACATCATACAGTTTATTATTATCATTATTCTGCTCATAACAACAAGAAGGAGAAGGAGAAATACAGAGAGTGAATACGAATGCGACAAGCCGGCAGCAGATACATGGTGATTGTGATGATGAGAGGATAGTCGTAGTACAGATGTCGTTAACCCACACGATGTAGCGGAAGAGTGGTATTAGTAGTCAATGCGGCGGCTAAAGCAACAACTCATATTTGCAGCAATGATATGAAGGTACGCACTCATCGAAGGCCCAAACTAGAGGGTTTCATAATAACTGATATTACGACCAAGCAACACTTTCCACTAATCGCAGTCGCCGTAGAGGAATATACAGAACTTGGCTACAATAACAACAACACCGACTATAGTACTACTACAACTACGAGAGCGTCAACTTCGCGATCAATAGTAGACGGCTTCGATACAAGCGTGAAGCTAGCAGCACCCGATACGACAACAGTAAGAATGGTTATGCTATCAGGATCGATATGAATTCGTAGACACCATACACGGTGTCACATATCCCCAATTATACGAAGTGATAATAACCATCAATACTAGTCGCCATCAGAGACCACTTTTGACATATACGGAAAACTGCTTCGCTCCGCTGTATGTAGCCGACCACCTAACTAGAAGTATTGGCATCCCGTATGCTTCATCACTTGACGGGCACAGTATCTGTTATAGGAACGAGTAAAGCCATAGAAGAGGAAGAGGACTGAGTTGCTTACATTCCCTCCTCGACACCATCCATAATCATTTGTCTAGTGATGGAATGCCACGCATTGGCGCGGTCACCTACGTCGCCGAGAAATACCCACATATAGTTAGCGTTCACTCACCTTCATACGGGAGGACTTCACTCACATCATCATCACTAATACTGGAAACTGAGCTTTCCAGCGGAGAAGGGATGCTACGTGGGGTAAGATCGCGTGCCAATAGCCTACCATACCAACAACACATTTCAGCATTTTCATCGCTCACGCTAAATCACCTGGCATATATCGCAGCAATGAAACCACCGACAAAGCCGTCACCAGCACCAATGTCGTCCGAGATGGCCAGAGGATCCAAATCTCGCACAGTATGAGCGAACGCATCGCAAGTGTCCGTCAGATTGCTACAGCATATCACTGGATCGGGACCTACTAAGACGATACACCCTAGTCCTCAGGAATGCCCTCTGCCCTCACCTTGCGTCATGATAGCCCAGGCCCCTGGTTTCATGAACGCCGAGACGGCCTCGGCGATCTCCCGCGGACTCATTTTAGAAATTCCTGCGATACCTACAATATTGATTCTTGGAGTGTATTCAGGCTCGAGCAGAACGTACCGAGATGCTCAGCAAAAGCAGTGAACTCCACCTCGTTGCCGAAGACAACGTCACAGGCGTGCTGTGCCATGTACGTCTGAAGGGACGATTTAACGGAGAGATGGTATGACTATAAACACTCACAAAATCATCATTCCTGCAGGCCCAAGCAGCGCTGAGACCAGCAAACAGCTTTGTGTAACCAGACGTGATCTGTGGATGGTTTGGTATGTACCTGGGGATATTCTACAGGAAAAGTGGCGGATTTACGGTACTCACTCTCTGCACGCATATCCATCTCCACAAGCGTAAAACGCTGTCGTATATAAGACCCTGCAATCAGCGGGAATGCCTAACAGAACGTCAATTCCTCCAACATTTCCAAAGCTCCCTCAAGCCCACCTCTATCGGGCCCGGCTCGGAAATCAGGAGCAACACCCAAATCCGTAATCATCGTTCCTAAAATCAACACATCACCCTTAGCGGAGCGAAGCACTTTTTACGTTTTTTGTCCTTAAGAAGTGCGCAACACTTTCCAGTGCGGCCACCAGGGAACACCTATCAGCATCATCGTTTCCAATTCCCTGCCAGAAGCCCACCTCAAAATCCGTCTCCAAACCAGCCTCGGCACATGCCTCTCTCAATACGTTGGCATACTCATCATCCCCAACACTGCCAACAATCCGAACCGACGTGTTCGCAAAGCTCAAATCCTGTGCAAAAAGCGCTCGCCCTGATGATCGATATCACTTTTTGTTACATTGTATTCCGGATCAGCTTCATGGCGATCAAACCACCACTTGACGCCCCTCAAAGAGTTCATCGCTTGCCCTCCCGCGATGCGCTGAAGTAATAACGAGATGTCCAAAGTCACCGTCTGCTGGGCCTACGTGAACCGTCAATTCCCCATCTCCCAACATCCGCGCAAACAGCTTCTTGTCTTCGTCACTTCCTGAGGAGAAAAACATCAAAGTGACAGAGAGAGAAAATACGAGTGAATAAATGCGAATAAAATGCGGCGATTCTAATACCATCCGTAAGCCTCTGAGTGTTGACTTTCAAACCGAAACCGTTAGCATCGTCAACAGTAGCGACCAAGTCCAATATCGGGTGATCGTATGATACAACGCTGAAGCTCTCAGCTGCACCCAAGGGACAGGAGACGCACGTGTTCGACACCAAGCTCGCCGCTGTGGTTGAAAATGATGACAACTCATCTTCATCCTCGATGACGACGACAGAATCAGCCATACTACAGGGGACTAGGAAAAGAAGGGCTGACACTGATGATAGTAATAATAATAGCTACCTATGAAATGGTAGTAATCAAAACATCATCTCTACACAAGGAATTTCGAATAAACTCTACGTGTCAGCCCGACTAGCCCCTGCTATAGTAAACTTGATTACCGCGCGCCACGAAAATACCCTGTCCCTTGGGTGTACCGGGCTGACACGTGAGCCCCTCAAAACGACCACAAAATTCCCCCCACCCTCTCCTCCCACCCTTCGCAAGACGCTGGGTCGCCGGCTCCAACCCGTAGGCCTCAAAGTCGTCTATGTTCGCTACTAGGTCCAGCAGTGGATGGCACATACCGACGATGCTACTGTGCATAGTGCTTGGGAGGCCAACCTCACACTGCCGACTCTCGTCACACATACTCAGCGAATCGTCAGCACACGAGACAACTCCAGTCAGGGCTGGACCAGACGACGAGGCGTTCACCGCCATAGGAATAAAGGAGGCAATGACTGTTAGGGAGAAATTGGGAGAATACTAAAACTCCACCAATGTGCTTGTCGGTCCTAGTGTACATTATAATATTATCTACTCGAGATTATGCTCTCGCTTTAGTCGCTCTATCTCCTCTTTCTGGCCCTGCGTATCCAGCTTCTTCTGGAGGCGTGTAGCGCTGTAGTAGAGACACACCAAGTACCGTCCTGAAGGACACACTGAACGAGCACTATAAGCCCCACCATGGTGCCTCACCCGCCACGTTGAAGCCACTGAGGTGATCTACTGCATTCTTCGCATCATAAATATCATCGTAGATAACGAATGCGGTTCCCTAGGATAACGACGATACAAACAATAACGTCGATTCTCAGAAATATCACCTTAGTGCCAGGAGCGTTTCCCTTCCGTATTTGCCGAATGGAACCGAACTTACCAAAAACATCATACAACTCATCCGGCTTTATTTTGTACGGAAGATTCCTCACCTGAGGTTGAAACTATAAGATACGGAATAGGCCCAAATGTGACCTACATATAATATCCTATTAACCTCAGGAGGCAGCCGTACTCGTCCACGCGAGGCCATAAGACTGAACGACCAACAACTACGCAAAAATACGTCCGTCAGCTTCCCAACACAAAACCTCTTACAATCGCTTTCACGATAGTCACGTTTTACCTACACGAACAAGGCAGTCCCCCAACCAGGGGAGAGGAAGCAGGAGGTCCATAGACCTTGAAGTGGCAGTACTAAAAGGATCAGCGACTAGTACTCGTCAACCCGCTGAAGACAACGTCATTAGCCGATCTCGAGTAGCAGGGCTAGTCGTCACTGGCGAGGACCAAGACCATCCGATGGTTAGAATGTGAGGACAGCAAAGTGAACAAACCAGTGATAGCAACAGCAACCGAACCCGCCGATACGACGTTGCTCAACCTATGCCGACCTCCCTGTCATTGGCAGACAACCGCTCCTTTACAACAGAGGGAACTAGTCGTAGTAGTAGAGGCATCGTGAAAGTGTCGCAGACGTAAAAGCAGGAGACCTCGATCGTCACCACAGCAGTAGTGCTAAAACGACCAGTGAGTCCTTCATGAGGAAACAACATGACCGTATATGTATTGGTATAAGGATTGAAGATAATGGTAACAACTATGGAGGAAAAGAGACAGTCGGGAGGTGAGGAACCTGCTGGGGACCACTCAGGATGATGATGATGATGATGATGCAAACAAACAAGAGTCGATACAGCACGGAGTGACAGTCAGCCGTACTAGGAACACCTGAACCAACACTCACATACAACGACACCTCTCAGCTTACCCTATGGCGTGTTAACTCCAGAAGATGCGAGTGGCGACATAGAGCTAGAGCCGTTCACACGAGCATCTCTACGTAGACCCGGGATGCTAGGACGGTCAGTCTCCTTCTTATCCTCTGAAATAATGACATCTCATCAACGACTCTCAAACGTATCAAAGCTCACCTTCTAGCTCCACCCACACCTCATCGTCGTTCTTTAGCTGCTCACAAATCTTGCCATTCATTTCCAAATACGTACCGCTCTCAAAACGAACTCCTAAACACATCCTAATGCACACACTTTGCATTCGAGAACTTACCTGAAGGAGTCCCCAGACGAATAGTGGAGCCGCGCTTGCTGTACACCGGGCAGTAACGAGCAATGCCCATATTCGCTGACATACAAAAATACATTCTGGAGAGTTCATGCTTGTCGCCTCGACTCACCCAGCCACCTCACGTGCTGACTACCGGTGCCACAACGAATGACGAAGCTCCTGTCACGAACGTGAACCTGAACTCACCCGACATAGGACAAATCACAGCAGCGAACTAACCAACCAGAAGCCTCATATTTTCTTCCACTTTCGTGGGGGAAGTCGTCCTTGGGCTCTCAGCAGGGGAGGAATCAACCGTGCTTGCAAGGGAACGGTTCAAAGTAGGAGTAGAGGCGATCTGCGGTGCTGCTGACATACTCAATGAGTAGTAGGAGTAGGGGGGAAATCAATCGGTATATTATCTGCTAACCCCAGTTGGGAATACCAGAAACACTACGCTGCGAACAACAACACTGGAAACTAATTACACTGAAAACGTCATTCACCGTAGTCTTCATTCACCGACATCATACTAACTCCCCCTTTACACCCATTAGCCTCGGGAAGCAACGGGAGAACGTCAGTAGCACGTCAAGTACTCTGTATGCCTTCCAGTCGCTGTAGACCCTCGTAATCCTGTGAAGCCACCACCAACACTGTGGACTAGGGATGAACCCTTCCACTACCTCGAGCATACTAGAAGCCGAGTTACAACCCGATCAACTCTTCGAACGTCTTAAGACAATTGTTGGTATGCCTCAAAAGGGCCGCATCAATTCGTCGATATGACAGCTTTAAAACACATCTGAATGGCGATAGCGGACGTTGGTAGCAGCAATAGGCACCATAGCTCTCCTGCTACAGTGTAAAACCACACCAGACACCTCAAGTGGAATAGCAGGACATGATCATGAGCAAGGTGAGTGAAATCGACATGGCTTGGTACACTTCGCGAAGGGAACACTGGAAACGTCGACTCGTTGAAGTGAGATCCGCAACTGATGGAAGACGACCATAAGAAGGAGGAATGAGAGCGTGAACATCAACCATTCTAAGCGCTTCGCTCCGCTGTTTCTTTACACCGATCACAACAACTTTGTAAGCGAGAGTTAATCTCGCTACGCCATTGTAATCGATATATTTAGCTCACTTTGAAACAAACACAAAAGAATAATCATGCGCACACATGTTGAGCGAACTTCACTCCTGAGACGTCTGATCGGCTTCACCGCCATCCTTATTATAGCGAAGGAGAGACAGACTGAGGACGCCTATGACGGCCATGTAGAGACCAACGATGATGTAGAGGATAGTTAGATGCATTAGAGCTATCGAACCCTGACAAGATTGCTTCAATCATCAGGTCGAGGCCTCGAGTCTGATAGAATCCAACGTTGATCAAAATTCGGGGAAAGCCCCATGAGATTTATCGCTGGAAAGGTTACTTCAGGATTGGTCGTAATCCTAGTAATCAACTACCCCAAGGGGCCAGAGCCGAAAGGCAAACAACAGATGCATTCTATTTTGATCTGTCGCCCCCCGTAGAGGACGGCCTTACCTGGAACAGATAGAACAAGCCACGTCCCCAAAGCTGGGTGAGAAAATAGGCGTACTCGTGTATTCTCTCCTGCACGCCGTACCTGCATGAAAGAGGTAGCAAGAGCGAAGTAAGGAGAGCTAAAATTAAGCACTTGTGGAGGTATTTGGGATCAGCTTCCAGTAGGCAAGTAATAACACCGAATAGGATTTGATACAGATTCAAGAGGTAGATGACCGGACGATGGAGGACCTCCGACGGCGAGAGGACCTAACCGCGCTGAAATACCACAGTGCTGAAACCAGTCCCTCACATTGAGAGCCCCAGTTGCGGTAACAGCTACACCGCCGAGGAAAGCGAGAACCCTGATACTATCAGGACCAGTATGGATGCGCTTGTTGATCACTTCTGCTGCAGCAGTGACACGCTCGCTGAGAACGACAGGTGTAATATAGTCGCGGATGCTTTATGAAGGTACCCACCTGGCCGCCCTGAAACCTCTCGTGGCCACTTCAGTGGCGAAAGAAGAGCCGATCAGAGGTTGGCTGACCTGCGCCTGAGAGCAACAACTCTGCAAACGTGTGTTGTTATTGTATTGAGAGACCTCGTCATCACTTGGAACTCTATGATGGGAAGAGCTCAGTGGCTTGGAAGCTGCCGCTATCATAGAGAGAGGTATAGGCGAGGATACAGTGTGTAGGTTCTCGCTCAATCTCGGCATATACGGACAGGTACAACTCCCCGATAAATCCGGTAAAGCTCTTGACAACACAACACATCACTCTGTACATGGGAATCGGACCGGCTCACAGTTTTCACTCAACACTCGCTCCCACAGTCCTTCATATACCTCCACAATGGCAATCAGTTGAAAACGTCACCTTTGAAACATCTCCGCCAGTTCGTCCTTGGAAGTCGATTCCATCAGAACGCGCTGAGCTGGAAGGACGAAACGGGACGATCATATTCGCATTTAGAACTTTCAAATTCGCCATAGATCATTTCAAATTTTCGGAGGTCCATTGGAAGTAGGAAGTTCAGCATGAATGCCTTAATACAGTCGATTCCTCCGGGTGGGGCAGCTATGCCACCAACCTAAGATATGCTGTGGGGTTAACCAATTTTCTTCTGGCGGGGCAGCTATGCCACCAATCTAAGATATTTGCAATTTTCTCCGGGCGGGGCAGATATGCCACCAACCTAAGATATTAGCAATTTCCTCCGGGTGGGGCAGCTATGCCACCAACCTAAGATATTAGTAATTTTCTCCGGGTGGGGCAGCTATGCCACCAACCTAAGATATTAGCAATTTTCTCCGGGTGGGGCAGCTATGCCACCAACCTAAAATATTAGCAATTTTCTCCGGGTGGGGCAGCTAAACGAGGCAGCTATGCCACCAACGTTAAGATATTAGCAATTTTCTCCGGGCGGGGCAGCTATGCCACCAACTTAAGTTATAAGCAATTTTCTCCGGGCGGCGCAGCCATGCCATCAACCTAAGATATTAGCAATTTTCTCCGGGTGGGGCAGCTATGCCACCAACCTAAGATATTAGCAATTTCCTTCGGGTGGGGTAGATATGCCACCAACCTAATATATTAGCAATTTTCTCCGGGCGGGGCAGCTATGCCACCAACCTAAGATATTAGCAATTTTCTCCGGGCGGGGCAGCTATGCCACCAACCTAAGATATGAGCAATTCTCTCCGGGTGGGGCAGCTATGCGACCAACCTAAGATAATAGCAATTTTCTCCGGGCGGGGCAGATACGCCGCCAACCTGAGATATTAGCAATTTTCTCCGGGCGGGGCAGCTATGCCACCAAACCAAGATACGCCGTACGACGATCAATTCTCTCCGGGTGGGTCGGCGCTGGAGAAGACACCAGTCGCCGCGTTCGTGCTAACACGACAGTATCCCCATGAGAGAATCATTCAGCCAAAAGTGCTGGAAGAACAGTAGTAATTCGGCCCATGTGACCCTGTAGTAGCAGAATGAGTGACAGGTAGTACTCTGCGCAAACCTGAAGAGAGAAGCTGGTTGGCACTAGAGCGAGCGAAGCTCACCATGACGACTGGTGGCGTGTCCAACTTCACCCCCGACACATTTATCATATTCAGCAGTCGCTTTGTGTGTACTGTCACAGACCTGATGGGCACTGCGATTCGCAGTCTGAGAATGGCAGCTCGAAAACTCCTTACAGAGGTCTCGTGGTCGAAGCGTTGTCCTCTTCCTCCTGAGACTCCTGCTGCCTGAACACAGGCGATGAGTGCGAGCTCTAGCACGAGGGTCGAGCCTACCTCCGTAAGACGGGAAGACTACAGTATGTAAGAGACATAGTGGTCAGAGGAGACTGATCAGATGGATCGACGTACCGAGTCAATGTAGCAATCGTCTACAGCTTACTGAGGCCGATACGGACACTTTCACAGTAGGTTCTCCTTCCGCACTGGCAGTAGGGCTAACCTCCAGAGTGAATCTACAAGGCACGTATGGTCCCAACTCCATCAACTGGTGCCCAACGATGATCACTTTTCGAGTTTATTGCCCATAGCGCGCTTCAATGTTTCGATGCTCCGCCTGCAGCCTTCCAAGTCGTCGAAGTTGAACTGAGATATGAATAGAAGACAACTCTGCGACGAGACCGCTCTCATGTGACCGAACAAAAGCTGCTACTGTACCTTCAGATCTGCTTCCTGTAAATGAGGTACTGCGATGGGGTTCCGTTGATTCTGACAAACACACGAAGCGCCACTAGTCGTGCCATTATGTTTCAAGTAGTGTTTAGCGATAGTTCAATATCAGCAGTGAACGTTGGTTATAAATATACGGGACTGATTAGTTAGTCAAAGGAGAAACTTGATCCTACGGCTGCTACATTCAAATTTCTTTCGAAAAAGCAAAGCGTCGTTACGAAAAGCAGAGGAGGCAATGGCAACTGATCAAGTATGTTCCCTTACCAACGTGATGGGGACATCGTAGAACGCTTTTACAAACGCTTGGCCGCCCACACTAGGGTCATAAGCCTGGGGAATGGTGTAGGTGAAAGCCAGGACGGCCAGCCTAGGGCACAGTCTCAGCTGATTGTCATCATACAGTAGGGGCTCACCCTGACTTATTCCGAAGGCGTATCTCGGTCGAGGTACTTGAGCCGAGTCCTTGCGCAGCAGCCAACAGATTCTCGAGGCTCGCGACCTACAGGGCGGATGCTACCCAGGAGAGATATTCCGTTACAAGGTCGATATAGTTCCCTTCTCGAAGGCTTTGGCAGTCGATGCTGTCAAAGATACACTCAACGGCCAAGTGAGCCCACGTTTCGGGAGACCCGTCGTCCAATGCAGAACAGCCAAGCGTGAACCTGTCAGCCCCATGCTGGAAAGAGAACAGCGTGAATCACCTCACTCAACGGGAGATATCTTTAGGTTCACCACGGTGAATCTCCTGTCCTTACTGCTCCCTCCGCGTGTCTTGGCGAGATGACCAATGACTTGTGATAGAGCCGATTGACCGGCCGGTGTCATTTTCCCCCTGAACTTCATGATGAACTGAGAATACCTTTTTTACTCTCAACCATGTCGAATTCGTGACCCCAAACTACCTTATCAACACAACCGCTTTTGATTGTACAGATCAGTCCAGCAACGAAGTTTGAGCAGAACAGGAGGGAAGATGCACAAGCTGCAGCGAACTCAATGTTCACCATGATATCCCACTCCCCGATGACATGCCTGCTGGACTGCACACAGGAATATCCTCTTCGCAAGACGACCGAGCAACCCCACGGCGGCCTCAATCATTCAGCGCAGTCATTAGCTTCCCAGATGAACTTAGAGAGGAGCGCGTTCATCAGCATCACTCCACGCATTGTGAACACCTTCAGACAGCTCATTTCGCTCCTATCAAGATTAATTCAACTGGGCGGGGCGGCTGTGCCATCACCCTAAGATATACCAAAATCAATCCCGCTGTAGATAGAAATGGCTAAGCTCGCGAGGGGCAGGTGTACCCTCTGGAAATTACTGTCGACTCCATGTGGCGAACTGCTACTAAATACACGCCAGCTTCTCCTAACCACAAGGTGTGTCACCTTGACATCACGAGATGACATATCTGGGAGCCGCATTACCAACAGCCAAAATGATCCCCGCAATTCATCGCAGTTAGAGTTCAAGAATTGGAGTTAATTTGGTTATGCCGGGGAGCAAGCTCTCTCGAGCTTCTCCCACACAATTCACTGTACCAAAACATATCTTGGAATGGTGGCATAGCCGCCCCACCCAGAGAACTCGATTGTACTGAGGCATATCTTGCGCTGTTGGCATAGCCGCCCCACCCAGAGAACTTGACTGTACTGAGGCATATCTTGCGCTGTTGGCATAGCCGCCCCACCCAGAGAACTTGATTTCACTGAGGCATATTCTAGGGAGGCGGTATAGCCACCCCACCCAGAGAACTTGACTGTACTGAAGTATATCTTGCCATGATGGCATAGCCGCCCCACCCAGAGAACTTGACTGTACTGAGGTAAATCTTGCCATGATGGCATAGCCGCCCCACCTAGCGGTGTGCTGGTTGATCCTGTCACCTGCGGTGCCAGTTGCTAGTCTACCTGCCACGCTGTGGCAGACTTGACGTCCTCGTCCGGCATCATCCTGCCTGACACATTCTGTTCGTGACCCACTAGTGCTATTAGTTTGGTGTTGAGCCAGTACCACTGGCTTGAGTGCGCACTGTTAGCCGTGCGCACTGGTCTGAGTTTTCCGATGTGGACTAGAGTGCTACTCTACTCTCTGATGCGCTCTCGCGCGTTACTTTGCATTGCTTTGAGGGGGTTCGAGTCTGCATGGTTGATTGGTCCGTGCACCCCACTGAAGTGGGGACCCCGCACGGACCCGTCGTAGTTCGAACCTGCGACCTTTAGGATGAGAGTCGGGCTGAATAACCACTAGAGTAATACCTCGCTTAAATAATTGTGTTTCGTCGAGGGTCGCCAGTCTCTAGTACCGTACACCGTGGTGGTTAGTTAAATCATAGTCGAAGACCTTGTGCTGCACATTATCACCAGTACTTAGTACGCGTATCAACTGTCAGAGGTCGGATATAGGTCAACCGCATGGCAGAGCATGGCACTTTCCATGAGACTGAACCAAATTTATACGGTCTATCGCTACTACGATGATACAAAAAAACGTGATTCCTCAGATTCGAACCTGGATCTCTCGAGTGACAACCCGTCACACTAACCATTATACCAAACTTACTATATATATTAAAAGTGTACGAGACGCCAGCCGAAAGTTGAGTGTTGCTTGGTAGCACTGAGCATGGACTTACAGCCTACCCAGAGCCCAGAGGGCATTGTCCTTCTCACCGATACACTACTGACCGCTGTGCCACCCTAGTCGCTGACCTACTCCGAGTGCTGAATCTTATTCCGCCATATAACCCCACCGGGATTCGAACCTGGATGTCTCGAGTGATAGCGCGCGCCCTTAACCTGCCAGACTAGAAGGACTGTTGAAGAGGAAGTTGCTTGTGCAACATGGTTCACATAGAATTGATGAAAACTAAAACGTGAATAACTTTTTATTGAGCCTATAAATCGAAAATCCGGCTTCACAGCGATGTTCAGCAGATCGAGATCTGTCGATTGGTGAAGGAATTTGTGGGATTTATAGGCTAGATCGCGAAATCGGCTCCGCAGTTACACATTTTTGATGGGAGCTCCTAAAGGTTAAAAAATAAACGCGCATATGGGGACCCCTCCCCCATGCGCGGCGGTCGATAAGGGCGGAGAGGCGCCATCCACCCAGAGAACTTGACTGTACTGAGGTATATCTTGCCATGATGGCATAGCCGCCCCACCCAGAGAACTTGACTGTACTGAGGTAAATCTTGCCATGATGGCATAGCCGCCCCACCCAGAGAACTTGACTGTACTGAGGTAAATCTTGCCATGATGGCATAGCCGCCCCACCCAGAGAACTTGACTGTACTGAGGTATATCTTGCCATGATGGCATAGCCGCCCCACCCAGAGAACTTGACTGTACTGAGGTATATCTTGCCATGATGGCATAGCCGCCCCGGTCTGAGAAATTGGCCTTACTGAGAATGAAGTAGGCGACGTCCCAAAGTTGCAATACTCTAATGGAGTAACTCCATACCTTACACGAAAATGAGGAGCTCATGCCTGTGATTCATCGAATTTCTTAGCGGAGCGATGTTGGTGTGACCGGTGTAATACAATCCGGCAATCGCAACTTTTTGCTAATATTGCGGATTTGCCAAATGCTATAATTTCTGACAGTCTCACTTTTTTGCTCTTTTGTATGTGCTGCTTTCTCAGTTACAAAGTAGCAACCACATTTACAACCTAGCAATTTCTGGTATAGGTTTTAGCAACCAAATGTTGAAATTAGCAAATCCAAAAGTGTTTTCCAGCAAGTCGCTCTTTTTTGCTCTTTTTTTGCTGCATTGTATATTTCCCCGGAGTGTTTTACACGCTGGCACTTTTGCCCAAGTGTGCTTCGCCCGCACGTTTTCGTTATTTTGGCAAGTTTTGCTCATTTGCTGTTTAATATGTTTTGCGTTGTAATTATGTAGTCTGGCACCTTTTAAGGTTTGCTATTGTGTGATGTTCCTGCATGAAATATACAAATTGGCAGTTGCCGGTATGTGACAACGCTGCGCTACTTTTCTGTTTCGGCTATTTGCTCTCTTGTAACTTACGCCCTGCGAGAATATATACTAGCGTTTTGCTCATTCGCTCAAACTCCGTCTCTGTTAGCGTTATTAGCAAACTTGCCCTTTTGCATTATTTGTACAAGTAATATACAATCGAGCAAACATAGTTATGGGATAGAATTTCTCGTTCGATTACGGTATTGCGTCTTATATCCATTTTGGTGCATGTTCATGCCCTGTGCACTTACTAAGTATCTATCAGAGGTGTCACACCTCGTGTCTCACTTCAAGTGAGTCACTTAGTATCGGGTCAAAGCGTGATAGCACTCTAGTGAGATATATCATTCACTCCGAAGACAGCGCGAGTTATGATCAATGCTGAATACCAAACACATGATTGCTCTTGCACGTCGCGATTGAATTAGATGAGATAACAGTTAAATTGAGTCACGTCATGCCGTTCGCAGTTGATGGAGGTTCTGTGATGGGAGTTTTGGCAATATGTCACGGACGAGGGTGGATCTCACAAACCCATGTGGGAAGCAGTCCACGTCCGTGACGCATTCAGTGCCCGGGATAAAACACGGCTATACCAATCAGCCACCGTGCAGATCCCGGGTGAATGCCCCCCATCTCAGATAGAAAAAAAAATATAAACACCGTCACACCCAAGATAGCTCGTCTGATGACTAACTAAGAGTGCTTGAGGGTTTCCAACAGGAAGTCTCAAGCACTCTGGGGGAACTTTCTCTGTACTTGGGTGTGTGGTCCGAAGGTGATCAGACTGGATCACTGATTTAGCAACGACTTGACGTCTTGCTTTTCTTTTGAAATTCCGTCATCTGTCTTTCGGCTATCCGTGAACTTGCTCTCTTGGGAGACCTTCACTCCCATCTTCGAGTATCCTCTCTCTTTTTGCATCGTATCAGTTGTGTCTCGTGGTTTGGTACGATTGTACGTATTGACGACTCAACAATACCCACAAGTTAAACCCTCAAGTAGGCATTTCCTAAGTATTACGGGCAACTTTGACATTCTGCACGAGAAACATTTGCTCATGGGCAGTGGCACTCATCGGAGCGTCTTCGTGGAGCTATTGTTATGGACTTTGCAGAGGTGTCGAAGGATTGTACAGGGGAAACTCAACACGGACAGAATTACTAAATATGAACTCTACAGCCCCCCGCACACAATATTCACTCCCGGTGTGGGGTTGCGATGAGGACGACGGCGCCGACATTGGCTAACGCGAGGCAGAGGAGAAGAAGGGAAACTTGAGCCAAGATGGCTACGGTTAGTGACAAATGAACTATAGCTACCTCGAAGTAATCATGCTCTAAGTTCCGCTATGTGGCTGCGTACTACTAGAGAAAGCGCACGCCCTAAACCCTTACAGCTTTCTCCCCCTTCGTGAGCGGCCATAACGTGAGGTACTCCCCTGGATAGCCTCTAAAAAATGCCGCTCATGATCCCTCTTAGATCTTCTCGGAGTTGTAGTAGCAGTACCATTCTGGGATTCTGTGGTCCCGTCAATAAGTAAAGGATAAGACATATGATCTTCTCCCCCTTCATGGGGTGTATTATCAAGAACCTTGGAGTCAGGGTTCCCCTCATCGTGAGCTAATGGCTCTTCATCGCTGAAACCTGAGGCTCCGGTAGGGTGATCTTCCTCCACATGGGGATCATCCTCATCATAAGTAAAGAATCGGCGCAGATTTCTTGCGTGAACGATCATCGGCGCCCCACCATCGACCGGCTTGACAGAATAACATTGTTTACCTTTAGCACCAATAATTTTATACTTCTCATCTCGAACATATTGACCCAACTTGGGGTTCCGGTCTTTGGTAATAAGAACAATATCTCCAGCCTCCAATGGCTGAGTACCAGTGCTCTTCTTGCTGCTCTCCACTGCAGCGTGTTGTCTCCTATCCAACCAGAATTCTCGGAAAATTCCAAGCATATGATCACGTCTCTTGATACGGCGACGGCAATCAGCTATCACCTGAGCGTTGTGCAGCGGATCCGAGGGAAGGAATTTCGGACGCAATCGTTCCCACTCTTCGGCTGCATTATCATCAGCGGTCAAGAGGCGAGCAATCGGTAGCTTAGACGAGTACCCATAGACCAACTCGAAAGGAGACGGAGCACCATCCTTTGGGGTAGAATTGTTAATACGATTAGCAGCAATACATAGCATAAGTTCCCAATCTGGCATCTTGGCATTTTGTAGCATAGAGCGTAGGCAGCGTCCTAGTACTTTGTGCTTCACCTCATAGAATCCTCCAAGGTGAGGACTCCTGCTTGGCAGGACTTCATGTCGCACAGCATTCATCAATAATAGTGACGAGAATCCCGGATGGCGACAGAACTGACTTCCCTGATCTGTTATGATCAGATCCGTCACATTTCCCCATTGCCACACGATAACCTTCTCGACTTCCGTCACAACAGTACTGCCTCGACAATCAGGTATTAATCGAAAGCAGGTGAAGCCAGTATAGCGGCATACAAAGGTGACCACGTACCAAGGTGGCTCCGTTTTTGCCGTAGCTGCCATCCCTACTCTTGGAGATCGCATAGGACCATATAGATCGATCCCCACGGTCCGAAATAGACCGGAAGGAACACCAATGCCTCCCGTTTCTTCTGCAATATCCGATGGTCTTACCACCGAGCGTTGGCATGGTTCGCAAGCATTGATAGTCTGCTTGATGATCTTCTTCATTCCCGGACACCATGCCACTTCAGCGATCTTGTGTGATACCTCATAGAATGCTGCATGCGCTGCTTGATGGTGTGCAGCCTCAGCAATCTCTGACATAAGGTGCCTCGGCACTACAACTTGGGTCAAGACTTTTCGCCCTTCTCCACTCTTGAGGAGAATCCAACGACATAACAGATTTTCCTTGTTGAGGAATAATCGGTAGACGAATCCAGTCGCTTTCTCTCCTAGCGACGGGTCAGAATTGAGTGCCTCTCTGGCACGATTCGTTTCAGCATCACGCACTTGTTCGTAACGTAGCCACTGCAATCGTGAACCATTGCAGTTGTCCGGCGACTTGTCATCAGCTGCAGCACTTTGTCCTGCTGTGGACCTCCATGCGCCAAATATTTGTTGTAACCCCACGAATCTCCTATAACTGGGTACAATAAAGCATGACCACCCAAGAAGGTCATTCCCGATACCATATTCGCAAGCACCTAAGTTCTGCGATGACTCTACCGTGACTCCATTACCCGAGTCACTAGACGTCTCGCCTGTAGGCTCTACCGCGATTGGGGCGATCATTTCCCCCTCTGGTCTTTCCACGGGAATACATATGGTCGTTTCCGGAGCTCGTGATAACATATCCGCATGAATATTTTTTGCTGCTATAACGTGACATATTTCTAGTCGTATAGACCGGCGTCGCCAATCGAAATTCAAATCAATAATCATATTCCGGAGTCGCAGAATAGCTTGCTTCTCCAATGCCTTGCTCCCAGATGTCAAGGCCCACGGGTCACTTTGTTTCTGTGTGACACGTGAATCAGTGCTCACTCTGATTGATTTCAGATGTGGCATCAATACCAATAGAGTATCCAATCGTCGAAGACACATTGCCAATCCATACAATTCTTTACGATTGCAATGCCATACATCTTGCTTCTTATTGAAGCCCTTCGCCTCGGAATACACTATCGTTGATGGATTGTAGATATTATCAGTCCCATCCACCAGACCACGATCCACCACCACGAATCCATAACCCACTTTAGACGCATCAGTGCGTACTTCAATATCGGTGATGCTTCCATATACTTTCAGATTCTCATCTTCTGCAGAGCTCGCCTTCCAATAGAACTTCGCGCAGTCGAAGTGCTTTGACAAGAGATTGCATACCTGGGAATCCTGGCAAGGACTATCCCAGTCTGCCCATCCACCACTCAAACGTCGGAGAGTGTCAGCATGAGCTCTCGCCAAGGTCTCACAGAATCCACCTGTCAGTGCTAGGAATACTCCAGCTGCACTGAAGATCTGCCTTTTGGTATATGGATGATGCAACTCCCTTTCTACAACTGGTCTCTTCATCGTCAGCTTAAGGATATCTGCATCAAAAGACCAATATGCACCAAGCCATCGAATGGGAGAGTCTGCTGACCAGAGGGCACGCTTCTCACTACTGCAATTGAAGCCACAACGGGACCATAAGCAATCGTAAAGTGATTCTGTAAAGGCGATTTCGTCAGAAGAACCAACAAAAAGATAATCATCCATAACGAGAATAATGCGAGCCATACCACGACAAGCCATCTCGGATCTGTCGGCATCACATTGAAGCCAGCTAGTCACTAGCTGGGCGCACTTATTTATAATAGTCTGTGAAAAGTAAAGTCCTATCGGGCCCGATGTCAGCCCGAAACAAAGACATTTCGACGTATAATAATCATCGCCGACCCGAATAGCTAACGGTAAGACTCGCCCGTCCGTGAATTGTGGAGCTACTCGAATACTATAGAACGCTTTTTGTAAATCAAACTGCTTTATCATCAAACGTGATTTATCATCAGACAGGAAGGATCTCAACAACTGCACACTCGTCTGAGTTGATGTCGGACTCGATGAACATCTTGGACTGGCACGATTGCATCTTCGCAGATCCAAGCAAGGACGCACCTTCGTCGACTTCTCCGGTTGAAGCACCGGGAATGCTGAACCCGCCATGGTGGAGAGCCCCTGCGAGAGAACTTCCTCGCGAGACGACGGGATCCACCAGCCTTTCTCGACATAATTCGAGATCTCTTTCTGCCACTCACTATACTGCGTAGAGGTCAAATTGTTTATCAATCGAGTACTATCCCACGGCAGCTGCTGCGCCTCATTATCGGCTGTGATATCCCAGCCAATCTCAACTTGAAATCGCTGTACTGGATTATCGCATAATTTCGTATTGCCAATCTCGTCGCTGGATAATTCTTTCAAACGACCGCGATACCCGTCGTTAATCTCAATGAAGCCAGCACGAGAAATTTCTGAAAGAGCAGCGTCGACATAGCACTTCAATCGCTCCTTATCGGAGATACCCTCAGCTAATGGAGGCTTCTTCGCATTGCTGAGTATCTCGTCGATAGATTTCTCCACCCATGATAGTTGAGACGAACCACCGATAGCATCATAGTCATTGGGGAACGGATGCGAGGATTCTATCACAGAAGGCTCTTCAATAACTTGATCGATGTGTACATAAATTGCATCAATCTTCTCTTCTTCTACTACCGATCTCATTTCTGACCGTTGATCAGATGCCTGCTCATACACATTTCGCAATTGTTCGTTTTCAGCCGAATCCCCTGCGAACTTCAAAGTAATATTGAAGCAGCACATAGCCGATCGCCCTAGTAGAATCCCTCGGTTCGATCCCTTCACCACGATAAAAGGTAAATAGAACCACTCACCAGTCTTCCTCTCCAATTGCACTGGAACGATAACTTCCTGATGAGATACTTCTTCTGCTGCACCAGCATACGATAATTTCACGGGTGTCTTCAACTCTCTCAAACACGCATCATTCGATGCAATCAGCTGGGACGCTACTGCGTCTGCCATCAGTGATGACGCCGCACCACTATCAAGTAGCACATCTGCCTCGCGTTAGCCAATGTCGGCGCCGTCGTCCTCATCGCAGCATGCCGGCCGAACTTACATAATAGCTTCGGAACTCGATCATCGGCTCCAATCGCATACACTCCTCGAACTTCTCCCACGAATACTTCTACGCTCCCAGTTGGTTGTGCTGGTCTCCCAGGAGACCCAGGGCCCTTGGGTTTCTGGGCTTCGCCAGCAACACCAGAAGTCGATACAGTAGAAGGACTTCGCCCACTATTGCGTGAGAGATCAGGACAATTCCTCTTGAAATGGCCGGCCTTCCCACAATTATAGCAATGGATGTTCGATAGATTGGCCGATATCGCATTCCCTTTACCGAATGGTCGATCAACATTCTCCTGTCGACCACCGTCACGAGCTTGCGGTTTCCCATTCTCTGGAAATCGTGGCCGTGCTCCACCACCCTTCCGTCCGATCACAGTATCCCGACCTTGCTGATACTCCGAATCGAAAAATTCTGCCGAATCCACAATGGATTCTAATTTCTTCTCGTAAATTTTTGGACCGTAACGACTCTTTATTTTAGCGAGAAGTCCCGGCGGAATACCATCGAGAAATCGCTGCCGCAACTCGCCCTCACTTACGTTGCACTTCCCTGGCAGTGCTACTGCCATGCTCTTAAGCCGTGACATAAACGATACCACCGACTCGTTGCTCTGCTTCTTGGCCTGCTGGAACTGCTGCCTTGCCCGACCGTGTGACCAAACGGATCCATACTCCTCCTGTAGTCGCTGTAAAAGATAATCCAATGGCTCGATGCCTTCGGGTATCTCCTTGGTCAAGCACGTATGGGCGTAGGTACGTTCAGCACCACAGAGGTTCCGCAAGGCGTAATAACACGCACGGCGACCCTTCAGAGCATATGAGGAACATGCCAGACGAATACGATACTGCCAGGTATCATACGATACAACACCCAGTTTTGCCAGACCCCATTCGCCACCATCAACCAATGGTAAATCTTTTATATTGACACGATCGTCACTCTTTTCCTGGGCGCTCGAAACATTCACCGTCGAAGGCGCGATGCTCATCGCCGACTGTGAACGTTCATTGCAAGTAGCCAATACTTTGATAAACCCATCGAATAGGATAGCCGCTTCGTCTATCGTCGTCAGCTTCAATATGGTTTTGATTATACGAGTAGATAAGACTCCCGCCAATTCCCTAGCGCCATCAGCATAATCCAATCCTGCATCATCCACACAGAAAAGTATTTCCCCGTAGATAAGGGGGAATATGCGATCAATTTCATCTTTGATCAACTCAGCTGCACCAGGGGCTCTAATAATCTCGTTCCAATTCTCTGGAACATGACCACCGTAATACTGTGCCAACAGAGTAGCCCCCTTCCGTATAACAGTACCGATACGAGATTTGTTGACTCCCGGCCCTTCTAGAATCTGGTCCACAACCCCGTGGACTACCGGGATTACCTCCTCTACCGTTGGCCTCTCCGGTGCGGTTGCAGACATCGCAGAGTCCCACCGAGATCGCCATGTGATGTGGGGTTGCGATGAGGACGACGGCGCCGACATTGGCTAACGCGAGGCAGAGGAGAAGAAGGGAAACTTGAGCCAAGATGGCTACGGTTAGTGACAAATGAACTATAGCTACCTCGAAGTAATCATGCTCTAAGTTCCGCTATGTGGCTGCGTACTACTAGAGAAAGCGCACGCCCTAAACCCTTACACCGGGCACCACTAGAGGGCCTTCAAAGAGATACTATTAAGGGTTACAAGAGAACCATATTGAGAAACGTCCAAATCTTTCTCTACCAATCACCGAGACAGCTACTTGTAGCAACTACAACAGCTGAGCACCACTGAGGTGCCTACCTTACTGCGAGTGCGTGCATGGTCGCTAGTCTCCAGTGATGGGAGAAACTACTTCGATTCCTCACGCTCGTCCTCTTTCGACCGCTTCTGCTGCAATTCTTTTGCCGCGTGGATCTCATACTCCTCCACCAATAAAATAGCATTGTTGTTAGGCGAGTTCTTTCGCACTATCTCCTCACATCTGGTACCTCGGGAGAACTTATTCAGCGCCGGGTAGATGCGGAGTGCTAACTTAGCACTGCTAAGCCAGCCTGCCTCTTTCCTCGATAATTTCGATGTTCGCGAGGGGCGTCTTTCTGCAATGACCAGTATTTGCTCAGACTACCGAAGAGCATATTGGTTCGCATGCAATAGGCCTCGTAGGGATCAGGATGCGTGTATGAAAGTCACGGCATCTCGCATGGGCACCACTGGGGTGCCTGCAATACAGCACTGCACTGCAGATGTGTGATCCATGTTGATCCAAATAAGTGACCTCGGATCACTCAGTACGAGTGATTCCGCCCAATACGAACTACCATGTAAACACAAATCCTCTCCCTCGTCCTTCTGTGACCACGTGCGAACTGCAATGATGTGGAAAATATGAAAATCCAACGAGCCCTTAACGAATGTCAGTCTTCACGAACGACCTACTACCACTTACAATAGTCCATCCATCATTCTCCCAGTGCTGCAACTATACTTATCTATATCGACAGAACCAAAGAACTTTGCAAAATAGTCACCACTCAGTGACCAAACTATAATGCAATGATCAACACAATCACTAACAACCCACCAAGGTTCGAATCTCGCGTGCGAAATTTCAGTTTCTTCTTCCGATTATAAAACAGCAAAAATTTGCTCCATTGCGGGGTTGCCCATTCGTAAAGCGGCAAATTAAGTAGCAATTTGCTCAATAGTAGAAGAAGCAATTTATCGGTTTGCCCCTTTTTTGAGCAATATTGCTCAATTTTGTTACATAGTAGCACTTCACATAGCAGCAACTTTTATATATTGTAGCAAATTCCTGTAATATAAACAAGCAAACGATATTCATTCGAGCAGTTTCTGTTATACAAAACGGCAAATTTGCGTATTTGTAAAGTTAATTTTGCTACTTTGCTCCTTTGTATATCAGTCATAGCGTTTTTACACACTGGCACAACAGCAAAAGCCGCAGGAAATATACATTCCAGCTAATTGGCACTTTTTTGCTATTTGCTCCTTTGCTATTTTGTAAATGAGCCGTGTGACCTACATATCAAAAGTCCGGACGTCGAATTTGACGTCGTTGGGCCGTTCAGAGCGGGGTGACTGGCGCTCTCCCTCCCTTTTTCTGTTGACCGGATAGAGTTGATAAACGTTTCACTTATGGTTCGTACAATCTACCATGTCACACGTGTATAATTTAGTCTCCACTCAAAAAAGAGCGGGTTAATCCTACGACTCGTGAAAAAAATTGAGAATCGGCAACTCGTGCATGCACGATGAGTGTAGGATTGTGCACGCAGACGCAACCTGGGAAATATTGCGCCATAAGAAAACTTGGCATTATAATGAAGTATCAGTGCGAGGTAGGATAGAGCTGTGAGGGCTAGCTGCGGTTATATCATACAACCCGTATGGGTACGTCGAAGACATCACGACTGCGATTAGAAGTAGTAGAGCGCGTAGTCAAGAAGTCTGGGCATGCGTGCTGAAAATAATCGACACAATACTATTGTGACAATAGTCTAGGGATAGGATGTAGTAACCATCACTCTTGTCCGCATTAACATTGTTGACTGAAAAATCCGTGAATATCAACCTCTTATACGGATAGTTCATGAGGGAAGGAGTCCTTCCGAAAGACCATTCAGTTGCTCGGGATGTTCTAGACACCGTAACTCGTCGTTGGCATAGTTTGTTTCAAAGCAGGCTATTGTCTATCGTAGCTAGCGATTCAAACAGTGATGTTGTGATGCACGACTCTTGTGATAGAGTCACGTCCACATACTGCCTTCACGGCCTTGTGGATAAGCCCTCGAGAAACTTTCATCACACGTAGACCAGAGAAGTGTAGTTACTCGTACAATCAAGTTTATACTCTCATGAATACTTACGCCTACGAAACACTAAGGGTCGAGCTGAAAGGCAGCGCCGATGCTCATGTGAGTTGGTGCACTCTATCACGCGGTTGGATACTGTGAGCAGGTCTTACACGTAGCTCTCAACAGACCTGATCGTATCAACGCGTTCAACATGCAAATGTGGAAAGACATCAAGGCCTGCTTTACACAAGTAGCTGATCGCCTCTGAGCTGATATCTTACATCATTCGTAGATCAATGAAGACGACCGAGTGCGATGCGTCCTACTCACTGGAAATGGTCCAAAAGGGTTAACCGCCGGTAAGTGCAGGTGTGCTCTCAACGCGCCTTCAAGACGACTCAGGTCTTGACTTGAATGACCCCGATCTGGCTTCCAAGTTCGCTGCCTTCCCCGACCCCAACGATCCCGACTCACCAGACTTCCCTCGACTCGCTCTTAAGACCGGCAATCTCATCCTCTCCTTACAGGAGTGAGCACTAGCCGTTGATGAGACGACGCTGTGTAGCCGTGACTGTTAGTTGCCTCGCTTCTGTTCGTCGATGCCGCGTTCCAGTCGTTGCTGTGGCCCACGGCATCACCTATGGTACCCCGACTAGTCACAGCGCCCCTCAGGACGATACGTTTTGGTCTCAGGAGCTGGTATAGACCTACTCAGCCAAGTGGACATACGCATTGCCGCTCCAGATGTGCGTTTCAGCATCCGAGAAGTCCTTGTGGGCATGGCTGCGGACGTTGGCACACTCCAGTAAGGCGTCATCATCACCTTGTGTTGGCACTTACTTGTCTGCAGGTTCTTTCCACTCATCTGTGGTAACGACTCGATCGTGAGAGAGCTTTGTTACACTGGACGTGACTTTGGTGCTGAGGAGGCCAAAGACCTTGGCTTCGTCTCGAAGGTATATTCCGCATCCTCATCCATGATGGCATGCTCGGGTGAATAACTGCCTTTGAATGGCATTCTAAGGGTGCCCGAGTTGCATCCCTAGAACCGTGTGCTTGGCCACTGAGCTTGCTAACTAAGCAGTCTTAGAATACTACACACCTCCAAGATGGATCACGGCGCATCGTGCATCGCATCATATTCTTTGCGTTATGTTTGTATCGCTAGTGTATGGCAACTGATGATGGTATCTCAGGTTGAGCAGGATGCCTTCTCCGCAGGCCTAAGGCTATGCGAAGATATTGCTAGTATGAACTCATACCACTCTCCGGTGGAATCATTGACCTTCCAGGTAACTCACCAATAGCAGTGGTCGGGACCAAGCACGTCCTTGAGTACGGTCGAGAGCTCCAAACGGCGATGCAGTTGAAACACAATGCTGTGTGGAATCAGGCTATGATTCTGGCGGCTAGGGATATGACGACGTGAGCTATCCTGCTGCTGGGCCTATTCCGTATCTTGTGATATCTACCATGGATACCCTCAGGAACATCGCCCATACGATGTCGAGGAAGCCTGGGAAGCCGCGATTCAGCAAGTTATAGTTTTTAATCACATTCTTTCGTGTACTTTTGCTTGAGTGATGATCTCTCTCGTTATGAGTTTCGAATGAGTGGGAAGCGTCACGACGCAACGCTGGCAGCTTGAACTACCTCATGGTTGCATGACGCGTTTATCATTAGTGTCTCCGATAGGCTCTAAAGGGTCCGTACCATCGTAATCGATGTCGGCAAAATGACTTATACTCGCGCCATGCCTCTTTCCGGGGTGTCCATCACGATCAAAAAGTGCTTTCGAGTGCTCCTATAGAGACTCCACCTTCCATTGAAATGATGACCTCCACAAGAGAGCAACTAAGTCGGTAACACTCTTGAGCTGGTGAAGTTATCGGCTTACTTGACCGCTTCACTATATAGAGAGATATACAGGAAATGTTTGCTCATCTGCCGAATCACCATCAAAGAGAGTCGTTTGACAGTTCCTTGCTTCCTCACAGTGCATGAGACCAGCAGGTCTACCAAGCGATCACAGCTCCAGGAGGGAAGTAGCCGGCTGTGGTCGCCTCACTATAAGGACATCGAATAGGTACCCCCAGAGGCTCGCCCTGTGCGTGCGATGTCCGCTCTGAGCCAAGAAACGTGTGGTGCCCTCGAGGAGCTCGATCGTCAACTCGCGGATATCGAGGCTGAGGTATGCACCTTCTGCCGCTGGCCGTCCTCACTGAAGTGCTTCAGGTACGTCAGGTGGAGGGCGAACTGGATTCGGGTTGCCTCACCCCCGAGAGAGCTCAGCATGTCCTGGCACAGGTTGAGGCTAGGTAACGCTGCACGCATACACATGGAAGATTCAACAAGCTCCATTATGTCAGACTCGATAAGTTGCAGTTCAGAGGGATCGACGAGATAGAGACCGGCAATCTCCACTCAGGTTTGACCTCTTCTCCGCTGCTGAGTTGACTTCTGTTTAGGAAAGGAGACCGCAAAGTACGCCCGTAAGGAGTTGGTGAGGAGAGCCGAGCAGCTTAGTCAGAAAATCGAGTCCATATTCCGACACTTGCATGCTGCTGCTTGAAGCCTGTCATTCGACTGTTGCGTCTCTCCTTTAGCCGTCTTGTCGTTCAACATCCCCACGTTGCCATAGACGACTCTCAGCCTCACGAGGGGTATTTTATCTTCTCAATGCGATCAGTTGCGCGTGCGTGCAGGATAATGGCAACCCTTCCTGACTGTCTACCCAAGAAAGCTGACATTGAACTCACCCCAGAGGGGCTATAGGAGACTCTCGAGGACTGCGGTGACCAAGAGACGTAACGATACATCGCTACTTCATCACACCCACATCCTTTTCTCCTCGCCTTGTGCATGCGTGCAAACTAGCCACAAGCACAGTAATAGTGTATGGAACATCCGAAAATGTAGCAGTATGTCTCGACGAATCGCGCCACAGCGGCTTCTACTAGGAGTCTCCTTCACAGAGACCAAGAGCCCAACGACGGCGAGGCCATGCTTGACTTTGGTGCCCTTCCGACATCATCATGGCCGCTGCTATCTGCCGAGAGGCCTCTGGTCTGGCACCATCGTCAGAGGTCTGTCGTTGACCTATCCTTAATGGCAGTCCTGAAGGCAATGCATTCAAGGCACTTAAGCGTTGAGGCTATTCTTCCGAGTTTTATGTTTCCTTTCGCGATGAAGGCCTCATCTCGCAGTATTTTCGGCGAACCGGACGATTCATTGATTCTCAAAAGTATAATAGGCGATTCGGTTCTTGCCCTTCGACTCCTCCTCAACCCATTAAACATTAAAGTGAAAGGTTCTCTGTGATATTAGCGTACTTGCGTTACTAAAGTTTTAATCAGGATGCCTGAGTCATTATCAGGATACTCACGTTGAATGTCCTTAGTTGACACCGGTGGGGTTCAACTGGAAGAGGTAGGCTGTCATTCGGCATTGACGCTAGTGCTTGGGAGTCAGATAAGCAACGAGGGAGTCACAGAAGAAACCGATCCTATGAAGAATACACCGTACCACTCCATCTTCGACTCGTAATCGCTCCACGTACTGGCTCAGGTCAATCGGTGAACAACCGACTGACGAACCCTCGGTCGAGACCGTCGCGACTAACTGTGCTAAGGCTTTGGCCTCCTTGAAGGGGAGGAGGGAAGGTCAACGTCTGGAAAAGGTAGGGAATCGACGGACTATCGTATGGCACTCTCATCGGGAATCCAACGTGGCGTGCCAACTGGATATGTAAATATGGAGAATGTGGGTTTCATATTTCATATACCGTCCATGTGAATCGCTTCAGAGCATATACCTGGGCGTAGCTGCTCATTTCGGAGCTGCTGCTGAGTTCGCGGCCATACTCCTATACTGGCTATCTGCCTGGTGAAAAGGAGTGCTGCTCGGGAAAAAATATATTTCCGATATTAATTATAGTGAAAATTTTATGGCTATCATATTCTCGAAAATTTACCTTCATCACATGTCCATAACAATGTTTACATTGTCTATGCGATATAGTTTCTTATCATTAGTCTCGATAAATAACGCAGATTTTCTACATATCCATTTCGAATCGACACGTCGTCGAAAGATGTGAATTCTCTCATGGGAAGAGCCCGTTCCATGAGGCTCACAGAACAATAACTATTTTATGGTCTGTAGAAGTCGACTGTGTTCAGGAAGCACGGCCGACTCTGATTGAGAGAGAGTCGAAGCTGCAAGATTCAGGGTGAGCAAATCCCAGTCTGTTTTGCGGGATCGACCTCCTTTCCCTGTAGGAATGAAGACAACACGAAGAATGTCACCGATAGTAAAAGTATTGGATCCTTAAAGCGCAGTACGTTGGGCTCTCTCAGACACGCGGACGAGAAGCTCAAGTTCATCCCTCGATTCTGCCCATGGTGTGTGGACGCCGCGGCACAGGTAGCAAACCTTCCGCTGGCGTCAGGCTAGTACTGGGTTCAGTCCTGAAGAGGTTAGAAGGATGCAGAGTGTACTCCAACAGCAATGGCATCTTCTATGGATGGTAGACTCTATGAACCAACACCAGGTGGCTGCAAGTAGAGGCACAGCGCTATCATCCTCATCATCAGAGCTTTCGACAGGAGAAGTACAGTCGTCAGCGACTAACGTAATCAAGATAACTCGAGTTTAATGTGAATCAATCAGCATTAGGGCCCGATACATGGAGCCGAGGGAGAGGCCAAGGTCGATACCATGGATTACGCTCTGGCCCTAGCTACTGCTGCGCCGGAATATGCAGCTGCTGTCGCCAACTGGTGAGTACGTCTCGTCCTCTCGTAGTGTATCCAACCGCCTACATTCTCGTGAGCGCGTCCCACTTGCCATTTCGGAGCATCTATACTCTAGCAGACTATTGAAGATCTCGACTTCATAGTCTACGATTGTGTGGAAGAGTATTTATCCTATCGTCGTAAAAAGTCGATTGAGATGATATGTTTCCAGGTGGTCGGAGTTAAGTCCTCGGTGGAAGAAGGAGATATACGATTGGCCGCCCTCAACTCTATAAGAGATGCTTCCGCATCGTTCTAGTGATGAGGTGACTCACTTGGTTGAAGTCACCAGCTGTATGTGATCGTTATTACTTCTGTTCATCCTCCTCATTTGCCATAGACTGGATATAATAACAACACTAGTGGCCCTTGGTGCAGTTGAGTTACTCCAGTACAGTGGGTCAGCAGCTGGAGGGGAGGGGATGCTTTAACGTTAGTACTGTAGAACGAGCCATCCCCACCAGTAGATTTCAACAGGTGATGGGGAGTTCTTAGGCAGTATTTCCTACCATTATGGGTGCCAGTGTTTGCTTCGTCACCGCAAGAATTTTTCAATCCAACTTCGGTCCATCGTAATCGTTCGCGAATCGACACTAAACTCTTTCCAGAATACCTCTGGGTAGGGTTGAAATGAAGGATGATGTGAAATCCAATGGACTACATGACTTGTGAAAACTAAGTGGGCAGAGGTGAACATTCCGCCTAATACTAAAGGTCTGCTGAGTGATACCGCTGGGGATGGGGTAACCGAGATAGAGTGTCAACAGCGTTGCAAGATGGCCGTTCCACGTTGGATATAACGCCCTCACAGTGCCAAGGTATGGCGGTTCTCCGTCGAGCAACACACCGCCATAAAATTGCACGCATCGCAGTGGACTCCTCCCACTTCACTAGGGTAAAAGTCAACACATTATAGAGTGCAGAAACGCGAGTTGATCATCAGAAACATGCTGAATAATCACCAACACTATCAACTTGCTTTGGGAGGCTCTTCCCGCATCATTCCCCGTCGCGCGGCCTCAACCGAGTCGTCGTTGGGCAATGCACTCATAAGGCTGTGAGTAATATACCTAAACGTGGACCTCCCCAATGCCTCACTCGCCGGGAGTGTCCGCACATAAATGTGGTTTCCTCAACTGAGCTCGTGAGTTTCCTCACTATTTTACGAATATTCACACACGATTCTTGGTAGAAGTGTACAAAAACCAACGATAGTTCCTCCAAATTTCCATATTTTCAGCAACACATAGTTGACCATGTGCTTCTTCCACACATGGAGGAGAACACGACTTACTTTGCACCAACGAATCTGCCTTCCTTGTATGTCATTACCTTAGCCAACTGTGTTAAGGAGGCCACTACCTGAATATACACTGAGACAAAATCACACACTAGTCGACCGTCACCTGAGACCGTAACGGGGACCCATAAGGCAACTCATCTAGAAGGGTCGAGCACACCTCTACTAATCTAGCTCGACAGTCTCGACTGAGAGAACTAGGAGCATTCGATGATAGGGAGATTAGCACGCATTTGACCTGAGAAAATTACGAGGTACACCAGACGGAGTTTCTCTCTTCGTACGAGCATCTTAGCCATTTCCGCACTCACACCCTTAGATAGAATAACGGGATGCGTCTCCTTAACAATGTGCCTGCCAAAAAGTCACACCGAATCTGCATGCCGCCGACTTACACTAGGGTGTTCGTATGAGGCGGGGGAAGGCCAGGCTGCTGGAGTCTGGCCAGGATCAGCTCACAGTACGCGCTCACTGCAGACGACGTATCTATCAGAGCACCAACGATATAATACGGTATAAATTCTCGGCATGTGCGGTCACCAGGGATCGAACCTGGGACCTCCTAGTGCCCTACTCGGGAGCATTAGTTTAATATTGCTAGCCGCCTCCTTCAGCGTGAAATCGTCAAAGTCTTCAACTCGAGCGGTACTCCTTATGCGCCGATTTAGTGACAGCAACTGAGGTACCGAAGGCATCTCTCCCGCTCTCCACTAAACGCTTATTAGAAGTTGTAAAGTAGAACTACTCAGCGACGACTAGCAGCTCGCTGAGCATATAAGACGCCCTACACGTGTGGTAAAAATTATGGGAAAAACTCCCAAGTCGCCTGATAGTGGAAATCGCGCGTTGGTTTTGTTTTAAACCATACCATCCATCGTCGTTAAGCTCACCAAAGCATCATGCCTCTTGAGCATCTCCAGAGAGTCTTTCTCCTCCTCCGCCAGATGGTCATCTCCCTTCTCATTCTGTCGCCGCTGCTTCCGTTTCTTCAACGCAGTCGCGTACGACGAGATGACTCCGGCGCAACGGAGCGATCGTATCACCGACTGAAATATCAAAATCCTCCAAAAATTTTCGCGTGTTTTCTACTCGTAAAATACCATCCAAAGATGAGTTTCACCCGTGATAAGAAAAACACCAGTGAAAAACAATTTCAAACTTTACTCCGCGGAAAACGCATGTGAGGGGCGAATAACGCATAAAGCACGCGAAATGAGGTGACTTGGCCGGTGTTATTCACAGGTGTTTTTCATTCTCTCCATATCACGAATATCGCGTTTTTCACATGCAGTATTACGCCACTTCACGTAAAACGATCGAACTCCAATGACCACATATACAACAAGCTACCATATGGCGGCTTTCTCGACCGTGAGTGCCGACCAAAGATGCTCCCCAGGAATCTCCCTCCTCAACGTCGCGATGAATCGTCATGAGCTGCGGTCGAAGGTACCGCTCTACGCATGCTGTATATCTGTGAGCAGTGTTTTGGTCACAATATGAAATTTCCGAGAAAATTTTCCGGAAATTGTTTTTTATCTTTGTGCAGCTACATCTTGTGTGAATGCAATGAGCTCATATGAGGAAACCAAACTTATATTCCTTCTCCAACGGTAATCGGTGTTGGAATACTTGTTTGATTTCCTCAACTGAGAAAGCACGCCCTGATGATACCCAAAAAATTCATATCAATTCACTCATCTTATTCGCATGTGATCAGACTAGCGTCTCTTCAAATACGTTGCTTATAGGTTCCCTCACTACATTATGAAAATCCACACAATTTTGGGTAGAACTATACCAAAATTTCCCAAAATTTTCTCAGAATTTTCATATTTTCAGCAACACATTGCCACGCTGACTCCTCACACTGCAGCCCCACCTAGAGTTCCGTAGAGACACTTTATGGAGGACAGGAATAATAGTGTGCATAAACTCTGTCGCTGTTGACAGGCGATTAACCTAAACACTTCTATGTAAACCACAGACCAAAGGGCCTCCTTACGGAAGGGTCGCCCTCGAGGACGACGTCCTCTACAAAGTCCATCATAAGCTGTAACGTATCACAGATTCTCAGAGGCACATATACGTAACTGATGTGAATCATGATAGTACTTTTAATGGAGTTTCACCTGTTTTACGCGAAGCGACGTAATACTCGGTGGAAAACGCGATATTCGCGGTGATATGTTTTCACTAGTGTTTTCCATATCACTAGGGCGGTGAAACTCCATTATACAAATAACAGAACATGAATTCTTTCCTTCAACATCAAAGTCTATCGATATCTAAACGAAATATAATGAAGTATCACCCGTGGGGTAATACTCTGTGAAAAAAAAGCAACCGATATTCGCAGCGCTATGCGATGATCTGTGGAAACTCCTCCCACATCACTAGGGTGAAACTCCAATACCTTCAAACGATGACCTGTTGTTATCACAATGAATATTATACATGCAGTGTGAGGTATGGTCAACGGCACATCTACCTCCGAGAAATAACGTTCTCTAGGGTTTGATAACAATGAGAAAAAATGATGTTCCTAATGTGATGATGACATTTACATGGGAAACTGTTTGAAGTATGTGTTCCTAGCCATACGTGGAAAATTGAGTTCCACTTCTCGTTAATTCTCCGAGTACAATACTATCAATGGAATCAACCCTTACTCGCCATCTCCCGTCTCCTCAGTGTCATCCTTCGCCCGCCGATCCGACTTCCCAGCGGTGTCCAGCTTCCCCTCTAGCACGACCAGTGCCGCCGCCAGATTGATAAATGACCTGCAAGCATTACACCTCCCAAGAGTAGTTACCAACTCACTGAGGATGGAGCCGATGGAGCTGGGCCTTGAGAGCCTCCAGCATTATCTGTAGACCCGAAAACAGCGCCAATGAACCTGTCAATTCCACCATACTTCAATCGAGCTCTTTAAAATCAACTCATAATAAATCAGCGCTCCGGTGTTTGAAAACATGACATTCGGAGAAATTTTGAGAAGAATTTTCAGGAAATTCTCGTTGGTTTCTCCACACTTTTACTGCCCGAATTCGTATGTAAACTTGTATAACTAGACTCCGCTGAGGAAGGCGAGCATATATTCCTCCAACACTGTTTTTATTAATAGTGCCATGGCTTTGGTCGTATTACATACTGATAAACCAATTCACATGCATATGTAAGTATTCTGGCCTCATATGTTAATTTCTTCCAGTGGAGTTTCACGACTCAGTGAGTACAAAACGCGATATTTGCGGTGGTTGCAGTAGTCGTGAAACTCGTCTGGCAGTAATGTTCCCCATAGCACTAGGGTGAAACTCCATTATATATTTCGGTGTTGCTGTTGAGTTCGCAGCCATATTTCTCTATGGCTACTATCTGCCCGGTAAAAGCAGTGATGCTCAGTACAAAAAATATACATTTCTACGCTATCTTAATATTATAATTATAAATATATAGATAATATTATATGGTTAACTTAATATAAAGTTATTGTATATAATATCTTTATTAGTCTATTGTGATTATAATCTCATGTGATTTAATAATTATATTTATAAAGGGCCATTATATTATATAATTGAGTTTCACCCTAGTGATATGAAAAAGCACTAGTGGAAAACATATTTCACGACTACTACAGGCCGCGAATATCGCGTTTTTCACCGAGTTTTACGCCACTTCACGTAAAACGGGTTGTGAAACTCTAATATAAATTAATTATGAAAAATAATTTAGACAAAAATGTAAGTTACCCATTTTCTTGTCATAGATTTCCTCAAACCACAGCTCTTGTGACTTCTCACACCACAGTAGCAGATCGCTGACCGAGGCGTTGCCCTCCTTGAGATCTCGTTCGATTAGAAGATGAAGTGCTTGATAGTAGGTCTTGCTGCAAGGGTCGCTTGCAGGGCTGTCAATACCTTTATGGTCTGATCAACAACATATAAAACAACAACGACATATACAACAACATATACAACAACATATACAACAACAACAGCAACAATAACAACATATACAACAACATATACAACAACATATACAACAACAACAGCAACAATAACAACATATACAACAACAACAACAACAACAACAATATGTATATTCAATATATACAACATATACAACAACAACAACGAAGACAACAAAGAACTGAGTGACTCACACATGGTTATCAATAACCACTATTACTGATGGTGTGGGAAACTATGCACATGGTCAACTACATGTGAAGGTTACAATTGTGAAAATTTTGAGGAAAATTGAGAAAATTCTTATTGTTTTTTATACACTTCTACCCGAATTTATGCTAGGGAAATTCTGGACTCGACTGAGGAAAGCAAAGATATATTCCTCCAGCACTGTTCACTCACAACATGGCGCGTGACTCTCACAAGATTAACTCAGTGGGTGGTATCATCAAAATGATACTTTTACCTCGATCACGCAGAATTCAGGAATATTATGAGAAGTCTTATGAACTGTTGATCTGCTCATCTTGCATGTGCTTGTATCGTTAGTCCTTAAAAAAAATTAAAAAATAAAAAAAATAGAAAAAATGAAAAAATAAAAAATATCAAAAAATAACAAAAAATACCAGAAAATAAAAAAAAATAACAAAAAATAACAAAAAATAACAAAAAAACAGCAAGTCAATCTCCAACTAACCTATTCGCCTTAGTATCTCCGGAACGAGCCTTAGCTCGCTGATAGACGCCGCTTCATGACGATTCGAACGTGACGCTCTCTCACCATCGCCACATACTTCACCTCCGTCCATATCTGAAATCAAGGACTCCCGTACGACGGTATGGGAGAAAATATGCATATGAGCAAATACATATGAAAATTCCGAGGAATTTTTTGGGGAATTTTACTTGGCGTCTACTCGACTCGAATTCTTCGAAGTGTCTACTCGACACTTCTACTCGAATTCGTATGTAAACTCCTGAGCTCAGCTGAGGACATCGCACATTTATTCCTCCAATTACTTACCCTCGTTTTCCACGTCCTCAGATCTATTCACGCAGCGCCTGAGCATTCTGAACATTTTCCCTCGAGCCTCGATGGTCAACGGCGTCACACAAGATGCCGCTGGTGAGGAGGCCAGCAAGCACCCGTGAATCTGATGAGGATATTGCCTCCCGTTGTAAAGTGTACACCTTCGAAAATATGATGCATGCTCGAGCAACCTGTTCAGTGTTGAAATATATGTGCGTTTTCCTCAGCTGAGCTCAGACGTGTAGAACAGCTTCCCAAAACTTTCTCAGAATTTTCACACCCTAGTTGACCATGTGCATATTTTTCAACACTGAATCTGTTCCTGCGAAAATACAATTACAGGCGCTTTGCCGTATAAAAATGACGATACTAGATTACGGGAATATTAACTTCTATGAAATAAGGAGATGTTTTTCTTCCACACTGTTATCTCTAAAACTCAGGGATAACAGTAAGATCTCACGTTTATGCAAAATGATATCAACATATTTTAATTCTTACAAGACTCCAACGAAAATTCCAAATGTGGACGATTTTATACCCTCCAAAATTTAGTAAACTCCTACCAATTCAGTCGGGCTAAGACCAGCAAATCGGCGCCCTTGACCAGCCTCTTCAAAGAAGGTAGCACTAATTCTACCAGCAAGAGCACATACAGCGTTGCCCTCCGACGGTTCCTTTTTCATGCGAGTAACCAGAGACGCTAAAAGGTGAATATAAATGTAGAGCATTAGAAAGGCTTCTCACATGCTGATCTTCCAATTTGAATTTGACAGTGCAGAGGCATCCTAATGAGCCTATCAGTCGCCACCCAAATGAAGAGGTCTCTGTAGTAGCGCCGAGCGTGACCACTGAGGATCTGAAGTAACGAGAGTGATGGTATTATAATGGAGTTTCACCCTAGTGGTATAAAAACAACACTAGTGAAAAAATATATTTTCAGCGACTATCGCAAATATCGTTCTACGCCACTTCACGTAAAGCGAGTGAAACTCCACTGTTTGGAAGCACGATAAGCCTATTATCTCTTCTGAGTTTATAATTTCAAGAACTCAACGAGATTAACAGGTCCCAGGTTCGAACCTTGCAGCCCCCTCCATTTCCACACTCACCCCTGCATATACCATCGCAGCAAAGACGTCCCTCAAGCCTTCATCCGTGAGGTCCGTCAGTCTCGATGCTACTTGCTCCAACATCTCATCCGATACACGAAGGCATTCACGTCTGTTATGGAAATAGTGGTGACTGGTGACACCATCATAAACCGGCCTATCACCTCCGTCTGGCCAAGACTCCGTACACTTCCCCTAACTGTTGAGCTGGCATCGCTCCGCCCTCACACATTCTCCTCGTTTCCTCGGCAATCCTCGTCACCACTGGCTTCTCAATTTCGCCAATCTGAGTACATACATCACCCTTTTCACGGTGGTGTAGCAGAGGCCTCCCAAACCGTAGAAAAAGGACAAGTTAACTACTAACGTTAACTTCATTAACGAATAGTACAACTGGACAACTCGCTAGCGTTAAGAAGTTACTAATAGTGAACTCTGCAAAGATAACGCATAGTAAAAGTGTAGAAAATTGTGCACATGGTCAACTACATGTAGTGGTGACACTGTGACAGTTGCGGGGAAATTTTGGGAAATTCTTGAGGGTTTCTGTACACTCCTAACCAAAGCCATTTGTAAACTTCTATTATTGCTGAGGAAATCGAGCATATGTTTCAACACTGCGTGGTGACACACAGAACGTGTCACCATTATTATTACCACATCTTCGTTGTGAGTCACCAACAGAGCCAGAGCGACAGGCCCTTCCTTGATCGCCTCTTCTACTTGTTGCATCGACTGTGCCAGAGACCTAGCCGACAGCCTCGGTACTGTCGCTTGAGCTAGCGAGTGGAACGACGAGGACGTGGAGGTGCTCAAATTGATCAAATGATTCCGCATTTATTAAGCTGGGTAGCAGAATCAAGAGAACGTATAACCCTTGAGAGTTGAGGAAGGTGTGGTATGAGAGGTTAATAATAAATACTCAACACAACACCAAACTGATACCGCATTAGTGGATGCCTCGGGCGTCCGAAACCGCATCGTTAGGAAGGGCCTCAACGATCACACACGAAAGATCCATAATCCTCACAGAAACCAGCCGAAGAGCTATTGCATGCAAAGTGTCATTGAGCCCAAACATATCGGCTACATATGCAACGCTACCGATGCTGCTGAAAGGGCACAGTAGTGTTAGACTTTATATTAGTTTTTCGCAGTTGAGTTCAGGAGTTTCCCCACTAGGAACGTAGAGAAAAAGGAGTTTTCTCCAGCAGAACTACAGCATTTTACTAACCGAAAATATCAAGTTATATATGCGATAATATGTTATTCAACGTCGATGCTATTACAACCATGATTACTTGGGAGTACTCCAGTCCGCGAAAATCAGACCCCTTCCTCGCCGTTGATGCGATAGTACTTCCTACGTTCTCTCTGGCTACGTATGTGATGATTATCAGAGAGTTGCGGTCAACAACAGTTTTTAGAAATTCCATCCCCAACCGACGTCGATGGATGACAAGTATCAACAATTACACCGTATCGTGAAGTGCACCGCTCCGTCGGTCGCCGTTTCGGATATCTCAAGATACTCCAAAGCCTATCTGCAATCTAGGTATACCCTAGAGGCAATTGTCGTCGGGAGTACATTCGCTTCCTTACTGCTCAGCCTAGTTTCCCATTTAAGGCTAATTCATTCATTATTTTGCACTTAGTCTGTAATCACTATGACACCACCAATCAACGAGTTGTGTCCAGAGAGTGGCGAGCCGGATATCATCACACCGAATGGTTGATTTCCCGAAGCCGATCTAAAAGACACTATATAGTATACTGTTACATCAGTAGAGAGTGACAGTGATGGTAAACCTCCAAGAAAGCTTTAATGCTAGGATAATGAGGAAACTACCTAGGGGGGAATAATACACAATCGACAAGACCATACCGTGGCTGCTGTACACCAGCCCTATGCTTTGATTTCGAGTACCATCAAATTTGGCATTCATAATTCTCCAGCTCGTAACCGGTCTCATCCTCGCACGATATGATTCAGCGATGTGAACTCACGCCTGATGAATCTACTAGAATATCACCTCATAGGAACTGATCTCGCTAAGATACCCGAACAGTCATACGTCACACTAAACCCAACTGGTTCACTCATCCTCTCTTTGCTGTTCTATGTACGTAAAATCGACAGTTTGAGCAAACACCATGGTAACATTCTCCGACAGAGTATGTTGGCCAGCGCGGTGACTTCGTATAGGGTCGAAGCCGGTACTTAACCACTCGTCAATTAAGAATAAGGCAAGTGAATGCTGAAATAATTCCAGAGTGATACTCATGCACTAGGACTCGCACTAATCACTACAAGAATGAGATAGATATCTTCAGGGACCTGACAGTTACATCATCATCGTGGAAACTGCCCCAAGATGCTCTGTAGAAGTTGCGCTCGCCCATCACATCGTACACCTCGCACTGCGTGAAAAATAATTGCAACTAGAATTAAAAGGAAAAGGAATAGATCCGGGGACCTTTCGATAGATAACCTGGCACGCATCCTCTCGCGCAATATTTCTCCCTCCCAGTCCATCAAGAGCCAATCTCTCCTCAGTAATCGTTGGAGCCCTGTCTCGAGAAAAACGATACGGCAGAGTAAAAATGCTTTGACATAAGTATGAATCGCTGAGGTAAGTTGTTTGAGACGCTACTCAGAGCGAGACGCCACTCGAAAATGAACCTATCCACATATGAAGTACTACTAGGTTCAACGCAAGACTCAAAATCAGACACCTGGAATTTTAGTCCTAAACCATGCTGGAAATTGCCAGTAGCCAGTATTGTGGGATACTCCCGGTAGGAGCTTTCGATTGGTATGGGATCATCATGTGATTAACGACTGTTGCCAAATCTGCGCATCTTCAAGACGCATGACTAGGCCGCGAGCCTCTGGGAGAGTGCCGAGTCTCCGATCGGGCAGCATCTACGAACAAGCACTGCTACCACCGATAGCAGCGACTCGAACAACCGCCTCTATAGGACGTGTGAATCCGAAATGCTTATGGGAGAAATGTGGGTTAATGAGTATCACATATTAAGTTATCACACCTAGGTCAACGCAGAACAGATTGCCAAAGTTGTAGCTATCAAAAGAGTTATCGTTTTATCGCACTAGTTATTTCGCACCACATATTGACACTGCAATACACTGTCAAGGCGAATGTGATTAATCACGGGGGAAATAAAACACATTTTCCACATTTACGTACCAAATTCACACATACTCCTACCTTGCTTAGATACATGTGGTCGAGACCATGATACATTCTTCGCTTCCCGATGCCGGTGCGCACCTGACAGTATGTGACCAACGCGCCTCGCTCTACTTCCAGGGTTCGCTAAGCTATACCTCTCCCACCTGAAGAATCCTCAAAACGAGAGGCGACGTGGTATTCCTCTCCCCTAGTGTCTTGTCCCGAGCCAGGGCCGTCAGCATCCTCCGCCGGGTTGTTCCCTGGCTCCCACCTGCCCAGCCACCATCGGAGCTATGGAAAACGATATGAGAAAATATGTACATGGTCAGAGCACACTGGTGACAAGACGAAAATTCTAGGGAATTTCTCTTTGGTTCCTGTACACTTGTAAGCGAATTTGTATGTAAACTCCTGGACTTAGCTGAGGAAAGCCAACATAAACTTCAACAAATTCCTCACCCCTCGACAGGAGACTTCCGCCTATCTCTCACAGGCCTCATCCAACTCTGCATCTCCTCGTCCTAAACAGCCACATACAAACAGTTGCTCTTATGCGGCCATCTACCGCATCTACCCTTTCATCATTCTCGTGCTTCTCCACAATTCGCCAGTAGCACCTACATGATGCGTTCATGAACAGAACATGAGACCAGTCAATTTCATCAACGACCAAGAACACACTTCTCACTCTTGGAGGTCGACCGGGAGGGTCCTCAATGTCAGTTCAGCTTCCTCCTTCACAGTGGCATGCCTAGGCCGCTCGTGTATAGCCGAATATAGAATGCTCATGGCTCCGCTCTCTGCCAGCCCTGTCGAGCCGCCGTCTCGACCAAGAACGCGGATCGATGAGATAACCTAAAGAGGCCGTCCTCTAACCCACCAGGAAAGAGGACTTCACCTCGAGCATCGTACGAGAGTCACTTCTGCCACAATCAGCCACTCTCACAATGATCTCTACGCCGCCACAGACCAGGACAGCATCTCGGGAGGCTGCATTGAACTGACCGGACGACATCACAATTTCCAATGTGATCGCGGCCACCCGTGCGATGCGGTTGATAAGGCTCGCCACGACTAGGGGAATGTAAACGTCGTCCTCCTCTTCGTACGCTCCGGGTTGTATCATCGGGGGATCTAACGCAAGTCAAGGCACACTTTGCCGGAGCGCGAGGCCATCCACCTGTCTCCGATTCGGAATTGGGGATTTTGGTACCAGTTTGATAATTATCCAGGAGGCGATGAGTGCACGACAGAAGACCTGCACAGATGAGCTTGCCATAGCTCATGGGTGACACTGCGCTACCCCTACCCTCAATGGCATCTAATCTCATCAATTCTTCCACTATCACTGGCGCTAGAGCCAGCTCTGCTATGGCTTCAACCGCAATTGCGCTCATGTTCAGCCTGGGATGGTATAATTTTCGCGCGATATACAATAAACAGCATCTCACTGAACCAAAGATATAAGCCTTGGGAGCACCCGCAGTAGGCAGAGCTCCTCGCCGACCTCAGGGGCTCCCCTGGCGAGGTTTGCGATGCAACCGACAGCTGCATTAGCCTGCATCACTTAGTGAGTCACACAGCTGTCCCCATCGCCCACCCGCGGGGTAGTTTCCAGCTCCTGAGCAAGTATACGGAGAACAGCAGTGTTAACGAGCATATCCGCCTTTAGCCTCTCGCTGGTCGCAAGATGAGCCACGGCTCGCATGCGTTGCCCTTGAACGCCAGTCCTGATAGAACCCTCGAGCAATTCCACAGAGGCATACGACCAAGTGCGTACCAGTCTCTGTCACTCTGCAGGTTGCAGACTATAGACGGTACGCCCATAGTGAGGAGTCCATCCACGACTTCGTCACTATCCAAGCAGATCTGAGTGAGGCCCCACAGGGCATGCTCGAGCACAGTAGGATCCCCGTGATTGGCATTCAATAGCCGCACTAAGGCTCCCACTAGCGCCAAGGTATGGGCGGCCTCTGACTCGTCGTAGTTTGCTAGACTAGAGATAAGCCAAGCAGCGTGTGACTTCACCGAACGAGGACCTTCGATCGCCAAGTGGCAGAGAGAGTCCAATGCCGAAGGACGATCGTCGATCGAGTCGACCAGAAGCCTCCAAAATGACGGCTCTCTTCGGCCCAGGACGGAGATGAGCTCAATAGTGCGACGACAAACTGAAGGGCTCCCTCGGTCCAATGCAGAAAAGATCTTCCGCGCTGAGGACTCTTCTCTCAACAAGGATGCAACGTCGTGTCTATGAGCGAGCTCGTAGAGAAAGCCCATGATACATAGGAGTCCATCCTGGACAGTCGCACAGTGCAGACTATTTAGCATACTATTCAGCAGTGTGGGGCTCGTCAAGTGATCCACGATGTCTGTAGATGTCGAGCACAGCTGTAGGAATGTAAACAGTCTCGACATGGTTCGCTGAGAAGCCTTAGTGAGCATTGAATCGAGCAGTGGCAAGTCAACGAGCCCCTTTTGGTGTACGACGGTCCTCGAGGCCTCCACTCTGGCGAGCTCTTGAAGCAAACCAACACCTTCGTGCAGGTTGTCAGAACTGGGAGATGTAACAATAGCAAGGACCTCGTCAGCCACTAGTTCATAGTCACTGCTGACCATCCCTTCACGGGTATAGCCCAGCACAGAGACTATCACACGGAGTGTTCTGTCTACAGTGTCGGTATCAAAATGGTTCCTGACAGTTTTGAGCAGCGTTACGAGTTTCAATCGGCGTGGTATGAGCAAGGCTAGCACTCTAGGCCAGGAGCGTGCTCGATCCAGGGCCTGCAGCGGAGTCAGACGAGAGAGGCGATCATACCCAGCCCACCGAGCATAGTGGTGGCACTAGCGCCATGACATCCGAACAGCGGGACTCGATCTCTGCTTGTATCTGCCTTGACATGCTGTCCATAAGATGCGCTATAAGATGAATACTTCTCGGCTGACATCATCGATGATTTGCTCGAGGATGAGAGTATACGAACAAACTAGACCGAACGAGTAGGGAGAATGGGGGGAGGCAATAGCCGTCAGGAGCAGGTGCCTGGCAAGTGGTTGGAAGCCACGAATGGGAGTAAGCTGACCATGTCCAACGGGGGTCGACACCGCACTGAAGGATAGCCTCCATTACGTTGGGTGATCCGACTAGTGCACATAGCGGGCCCGAAATACAAGTCGGCTGTTTATGCTGGTGGGAGAGTAGTGCCCTGCAGCACTGCTGTCAACCTAGACAGGTTAATAGCATGCAGAACACACCTTAGTAAAGTGATGGCATGCTTCCTCACAACAACTGGCCGCTCATGGTCGGTAATGCAGTCTATCCAGCCTTGAGCACACTGCACTAGCGGCTCCACCGTGCCGACTACATCCTGGCACACAGAGTAGGGATACGCAATAACCGGACGAGACTTTCGGCTTCACCTCTTCGCTCTGGCTTTGCAACAGCTTGCAGAGGCTGCTAGAAGTGTCGAAAACTCGCTGATGGATATCCTCGTTGGTCGATTGGTGCAAGGCCGATAAGGCTCGAACTATGCACATTCGAGCGAGCCGGCCAAGGTCCTTGTGCTCCTGCCAGAGATGTATCAAGAGTCTTCAGCTGTGGTCAACCCTTTACGATTAGCTTCTCCAGATCGTTCAATATACGATGCTGTGTGTCTACTCCAGAATCACGTGTGAGAGCAACAAGGCAGGCGATCGCGGCCTGTCGAGGCGACTGAAAGCCAGCAACATAACACTGCGATCAGCTCGCGTTATTTTCTCGGTATAACCAGCGTTGTGGTGACTCCGGGATGGTCATCTCTCGCGCTCTCGGTCAGCACTGACTTGAGCGAGTCCGACGGTGTGTCGATCAATTCAGCACGCATGGTAGAAGTCAGGTCTTCCCTCAGTCCACAAGGCATGCGCCCTGCAGAACTACTATACTCTGACCAGGTCTGCGATGGGCGTTGTTATTATTAATAATGAGCTAGCTGAATCGGTGGATGAATATAGAAGTATGTGTTAGATCTTATCAACCCGGAGGGCAACATGCTGATATCGGAGATGCGTTGAGGGCAAAGTTTCTCCTCCCCCCGGCCTACGTACTCGCCAACACCCATATCGCCGTGATGGCGCTGCGGCGAATTGCGCCGGAACGAACGTCGGTAAGTATAAGAAGACTCCGTAGGAGGGAATCCTGCAGCTTGATACAATCGGCGAGCTGGCCAGATATAACGAGGCGTAGCAGGCTCCTAGTGACAAGGGACTCTCAGTCAATCTCGATCGAATCACAGGGGTACTTTGAGCACGCTAGTTGAACGTTATCATCGTCCGAGGACCAACACAGGTTTGCCAGCAGTTCTACTCCTCCTCGAGCGATCTATAGAGGCTTCCACTCAGAGAGGTCCCTCGTAAGTAGTAGCCTCACCACGGCCTTTGCATGGTCAGTGTGGAGATAGACAAACGATATCAAGTTGAGTGCGTCAAGACGCTGGCGAGCAACCGAGCTTCGAGCCAACTTTAACAAGGCTTCAACCTGGTCAATGGTTTTTCCGTCTATGGTGTAATACAAAGGCTCTCACTAGTTCTAAGCGGAGCACGTCATCGCTTTCCAACAGTTCTGTGAAGGCTTCCATTGCTTCATTCTTGACCTTGCCTAGCTGAGCTGCTGAGGCCTGGGGAGATCTGAAAGTCTATCGTTATTCTCTGGAGACAGTCCTGTGGCCCGTTACGACGCGGAAGTCTCCGGATCGGACAACTGCGCAAAGGCGACGTTCACCAGCGCGATGACTTTTGGTTGTGCTGAACCATCCCCTGTATTAAGGAGTAGTAGGTCGCGGACCCAGCTGACTAATGAAGGGTTGTATGCAGTGGTGTCTTGATTGGTCGCCAGCAGGGCAAACGTCCATGCCGCATTCAGGCGCACCTACATCGAAAGTATGCTGATGAGTCTCCACTAGGGAGGAACGGATTTTGATATTTCGAGTTTACTTCGGGGATGTCAGAGATTGCCATTGAATGCAGTGCATTGGCCACACTAGCGGTTGACATAACTTCGTGGTTGCTGGGGTAGACGGCCAGACTAGAGAGAGCCGCCGATATCCAAGGGAGAGCCTGAGTCAATGGGCCAGGCTTGTGGAGTTGTGCATCGGAGAACATTTCTGCCATTTCGTGGTGGCGTTATCTATGCCCACTCTGGTGCACCAGTGGGGGTCTTCACCGCTGATTGAGCGAGACAGATAGGAGCATGCACGTACTGCGATCGCCGTTTCACTGTGAGATGCTGTTGTCTGTATTGTATTCACGATGAAGTTGAGAGCTGCATTATGGAGTAAAACTTCCTGCGTTGAGCGATGCTGCATTAGAAAGCCTGAAGGCAGAGGAGTATTAGAGGTTAATCCCTACGATCTGGGGCGCAGCCCGAGAGACGGTATAGTAGAGGCGGATGGGCATCCTTACATATAGTAGAGCTCAGATAGGGAAGAGGCGATATGCTTTCTTCAGTCGTAGGAGTTGTCGCAAGGTTGGACCACAGATCAACGACTTTGTCCCATCTCGCAGCAATTTGTGCAGCACCGTCCTCGTGTACTGCTAGAGAGCTCAAGGCCACACAAACACGTTGTTGGACCTAGTAAGGGCTGAGTGAGTCTCCCTGAGGCGGTATGGGGAAATATGCACATGGTCAACTACATGTGCCGGTGATAAAATGAAAAATTGCAGAAAATTCTAACGAATTCGTGTATAGACTCCTATAACTAGCGAGGAAACTCCTGAGTTCAGCTGAGAAGAGTGAACACCACTTTAAAGAGCTCACCTTCACGTGCTCATCGTCCATCAGTGCTATTAATTTGTCCATGCCATGATCGAGTATATACCGTCGAGAGAGATCATCATCAACCAGACAGAGTATTGCAAAAGGCAGATACCTGAACAGCTGAGGCTGAGCTGCGGCTGATAGCTGAAGTAGATTGGAAACCAACCAACTACACTACTACTAGGTAACGACAGTGAAGGTGTGAATGAGACGCCTCCAGTACTTGAGTAGTATGCCTAGTTTCAACAGTGCATACAGGAACAAGATCAAACGGCGAGTATCATAAATGACTATAGTGAATGCGTCAATGCAGCAGCCAAACCCGAGAATCGTTCTATCGTACTGGTGTAAGGCCTTTTCTCTCGACAGAGTTTGGACCAGCAGTTGCAAGCCTGTGGGGCTCTTGCCGAACAAGGATGCTGATGAATAATCGGTGATGCCCAGAACGTGGAGATATCTGATATCGAATGATCGCCGTGACTGACACTTCTGTCGGTTGCGGTACTTCACTATAACAACTCGATTCACATCGTGAGGACTCGTGAGCTGCTCAGTGAGATACGCCACGAAAGAAGATCCTGAGAATCCTCTGCTTTTCCACTCGGAGTTTTCGCAGTCCGTACTCGAGTCGTTCGATCCTTTCAATGCAGCCTTACGAGCAAACAGCAGGTAAAGGGCCTCGAGGTCCCTGCCAACCTCAGTAGTGATATTCTTCTTAGTACTAAGCCTTTCCAACCTGCTACCAGAAAGTCATCTAGGAACCTATAGTGTTCCCGAGGGGAACTCATTTTGAATCTCCCACGTATGGCTAGGAACACATTCTTCAATCAGTTTCCCATGTAAATGTCATCATCACATTAGGAACATTTTCCCCATTGTTATCAGACCCGGGAGGGCGTTGTCTCTCAAAGCTACATCGATCTCTGCCTGCTACTGTTGGCTCAACAGACGGACAGTCCCTCATAGACGTACCACGAAGGCCCCCTTCGTGGAGACACTTGCTGGTACATGTTCTCCCCAGCTGATATCGCCTCAAGAATTTCCTCTTCAGTCTCCTCGGCGATGACCTACTATAGAGAATGGTCTTTCAGTGACGCGATCGATTATCAGTTTGAGATAATATGCACGTATGTTAGTGACAATATGAAAACCATGAGTAAGTTTTGGGAAAGAATTTCTATCGATTTCTGTACATTGAATGTACAGGAGTCGATGAAAATTCTTTCTTAGTTCGACTTTTCTACCCGTATTCCCATATAACTCCTATAATCCCGAGGTAGACTCTTAAGGAGAAATTCGAATTCCAACACGATGATGATCAATCACAATGTAGAAGTCAGATTTCAGACAGGACCATATCGTCATCACAGAAGGGTCCTACAGGCATGAAAGGATTCTCCCGACGCATCGGCCGCCGTTTGTATTTCTCCAGAAGATTCTCGTTCTCTTCAACAGTTCTCTCTCGTTGCGGTCGCTGACTGTGTTCTGTTGATTGACTCATGAGAAAAATCTATTCGACGCTATCACGCCCTGGCCTGGCGTTCTCACGACCATTTTCTGATATTCCTATATTCCATGTTGTGATCAAAGTAATGCTTTATGCCCAATATGATGATGTAGTTGCAAGTCGTTCGAAAGGTCATGGGAGCTCCCTTTTTCGCATCCTTGATAATCATGTTGTCCTTGTGTTTTTCATCTCTTCATGAACACAACAACAATACGAATGAAACCATAACACTGACAAGCACTTTGCGTAGCGAACAAAACATAGAGGTCCCTATTGGTGTCTCCAGCGTTGGTACAAACCAGTCCAACTAAGATTTGTTGTGATCTAGACTAAAATTTTCTGTCCTTGTACCCTCATTTAGTCATTTTTCCTCCATTAATATCTTTAGCTTAGACATACCACAAACTGCGCTAGTCGTTGGTGATATACGAACAGTTGGTAAGAAACTGAATTTCACTAATTCTTATGAGTTGGGATTGAACAGTGCTCTCAGAGGGGGATGTCGAGAAAGTGAAAACACTTTTTCAATCTCAAATTCAACAAATTCAAAAAATAAAATTTGATCGTCATAGGATGAAATGATTTTTTTCACAGAATCAAAATTCAAATTGGAAATGAGACAGTTTGATTATCGTAGATCTCTCGAAAATAAAAGTTCAAATTCGGAAACACAATTTCGATTTCGTCAAACTGACCAACAAAAGCTCACTTTCATAGGGAATTATTTTAATCACCGTCGTGCTGCAGATTGGCACCACCGAGCATCGTACAGGGCGGCCCTCTTCTCAAACCACCTGGAACCTATTCAGCTTGGAGAGATAACGCCCCCCAAGGTTTGATAACAATGGCGATGATGTTCCTAATGTGATGGCATTTACATGAGAAACTCATTGAAGTATGTGTTCCTAGCCATACGTGGAAAATTCAAAATGGGTTTCCCTCGGGAACATTATAGGTTTCTGGATGATTTCGTGCTGATGATAACACGACCACAACTCTCCCGAGCCTCCCAGTGATGGACCAAAGCCTCCTCACCGTTTAGACTTCCCCAAACGCTGTGGTCATCTTTCACGAGCATGGCAATGATAAGAATAACCTCACTAATAACGCAACACTGTAACGACTTGTGATAAATCGCACAAGGGCATGAAGTGGTCCATCCAAGGAAGAGCATGCGCATGCGTACACTAGTTGAGCACATGGGATTCGTACGTTGGCACCATATACTTGATATTAATAAACGCCTAATAGAACACAATAACAACGGCCGCTGCTTCATCACGGAGCTACTACGAACCACCACAAGAAGAAAGCACTTACATTTTCTCCACCACGTTTTTCCAGAACTCCTAAAGTGTCCTCTACAACAGCACCAATATTCCTCTTCAGCCTGCAGTCCATATCGCCTCCTGAACACAAGTAGGTCACAAAGGGCTCCCACTAGCCTCAAGCCGCTACTCCTGCTCCTCTGATTTCTGAACATGTTCATCACCGGCAACAACTGTCGATAATACGGCACCAGAGCCTCGCCGATCATCTCGCCACTTCTTACCATAACTTGAATCAGCTCTAGTGTCTAAACACAACTACATCCACGAACGACATTACCAAGCCACTGACCTTGCGCAGAGTGTGCGGATCTCTGCTATTCAACGCCCGCTTCAACGGCTGAATCTGTTGCCAAAGATTCTTCCTATATAGCGCACTGCGAAGAATATCTTACGAGCTTAGGCAGTACAGGTACCACGCGGCGATCGCCACCTCGTCGGATCAGCTCTAGAGCTCCTGCGTGCGCTACAGTCTCGTACCTTCGCGTAAATGAGTACCATGAGTTCGACATTCGTTATTATACTATATTTGTAGACGCTGTTAGTATATATTCAAATCTGTTGTTTCATCAGTTATAATTAGTAATGGAGTTTCACCCTAGTGATATGAAAAACACTAGCGAAAAACATATTTCACGACTATTGCAAGGCGCTAATATCGCGTTTTTCACGGAGTTTTACGCCACTTCACGTAAAACTGGTGAAACTCCAATATACGATAATCTATATCTATACCATATAATAGAGTGAAATTGACAGTGGGGAAAATATGCACATGGTCAACTACATGTGTCGGTGGCAATATGAAAATTCTGAGGAAATTTTGGGAGCTTCCTGTACATCTCTACTCGAATTCGTATATAAACTCCTATAATTAGTGAAAAAACTCCTGAGCTCAGCAGCTGAAGAAAACGAATATTTTTTCCAGCACTCGTAATCATCGATCTCAATGAACTATATTATATACATATTAATATCACCTTATCGTATCTCAGGAAAATATTTTGGCCCGACCACACCTTCTCCCATGCAAATTTCTTTGCCAATTGTGATTGTAACATAATAGAATTTTGCAATACTTGCACGCTCAAGATGCTTGCAACACTGTGAAATTTGCACGCAGAGTTCAGCTTCTCCATTCAGTAGGAGAACTGAGTTTCTTACAATGGGAGCACTTCCCTGAGCCCATCGATAAAGATGGGTAAAACGATCGAGTAATCTACAGTGTCGGGGGGCACCTTCCACCTAAGGGATGGTCATGAAGCAACGACGACGACCAAGCATGATCTCACTCAACGGTTTTGTTGTTGCCTTCATACTTCATTTTAAAGGGCATACTAGGGTGACCATAAAAGGCTTGGAAGGACGTTACCACGGTCTTGTTCCCCTACAGGCACCGAAGTAGTGCACTCACACCAAAACGCCCTAGAGCTCACTTTGCGTGGCGTCCTCTGCAGTTTGAGGCGACCGGTTAGCTGTGGCCCTTCTCCCCAACTGGAGATATGTTCTAATGGAAAACCTCATCATCACGATGGTACAAAATCTCACTTTTATTCTCTGGTCGTGGGGTTTTCAGGGAATTGGCAAGCACAAGCGTCCTCTGCGTTCGAGGAGAGATCTGTGATACGCATGCACTCGGCATGAATCCAGAACTAGGCTCTCACCATAGGGAAGGAGATTTGTCCGTCTACGATCGCTTGATGACTTGCAGGAGCTCTAAGCAAGGTAGAGTGTGACAAAAGCATGTTTTCTGGGTGAGTTTTCACCTGATGCCAGTGGTTCTATTGTGAATCTCTCGTGAAGTTCTGATTCGGCGTTCGTCTGACGAGATAGCCTCAGGCAAACGATGAGTAACTGTCGAAAGATCTATGCGATTCCGGAGCAAGCCTGTTGATGGTAACTCACGAGCGACTTGCCCCTTCCTTAGACTCAATGGAGGTAGCACTAGAGGAGCTACCACTTGCGGAGTCGATGTCATCATCAATTCGGCAGGGTCGAAATTAGATGGCTATGTGTTACACCGTTAGAACAATTTCAGTCGAGCTCGAAACATCAAACTCCGCACGAATCGGCAAATCGATTACCTGGGCGAGCGCTAAAGCCGTTGTGCGCATCGGCTCGAGCACATCATGGCATCTCCTTCAACCTTCCACCTCACCCTCTCTGAAGCTGAGTGGTTCTTATTCGGCAGCCACACGAGGCATGAGGGTCATAGAGAGTATCCAAAGTTATCGGCGGAAGATGCCGAACTGGTCTCCGGGAGTGTCTTAGGCGCTGCTGGAGTACTGTGGAGAACTCAAAGGCTGCCTTATGGCATTACAGGGAATCCCTCTCTGGTCGCGACACAACATTCAACTGCTTTCTTCGGACTTCCGGACTTTTCGGCCATCTCTAGTACGTTGAAAAACTCGGGAGGAAACACTGGAGACGGCACTTCATCAAGTAGAACTGATCGTCAGAAGGATCTGGAGTCACAACCGGCGACTCATGCGAGGTGATCTGTTGGACGTAACCCTTCCCCGATAGCGATGGTCAGTTATAATGCTCACCCGAGACGAGTCGAACCACTGGACCCGGATTCGTGGTTGGCAGCATACAACTTCAAGTGGTATGCTATGTGGGGAACCGTTGCGGCTACTCTCAGCATCGCCCGTGAGTCTATAACTACTACTACTACTACTACTACTACTACTACTACTACTACTACTACTACGTCGTGGAGCATTGTTCCCTCTTCCTTGCAGTGACAGCAGTGTACTGCCGCTTTATACGTCGAAAGGACTATGACGATGACGCGAGTAGCTCCGGTTATACTAGCGACTGAAGCATGGGGCCTCTCCATGATGGGCATGCGATAGTCTCGTATTCCCTAGTTGGCGTAGTGTTACTACTACTACTACTACTACTACTACTACTACTACTACTACTAGAATCTTCAGTTGACTCTGTTGCAATGACTGCTGCCGACCATTACTTCACGAGGAATAGGAATCCCCTGTTGATGCGAGATGAAGTTGGTCACGCTAAGCCGACATACTACGACCTGCCGAGTGGAGGCTTCGTCTATGGCAAGAGCCAGGTACTGCAGTATGGAATTTCCGCTGAAAATCCAAGGAAATTTCAATACGCTCAGTAGTAGACGAAGCCATTTGAGTGATGGAAGGTCAATTCCGGACCTATTTTGTATCTTTATGGTTGCAACCTTGGATATGTCCCGATTGTCGCTTGAGACTTCTTAGACTAGCATTTGGTCAGGGTGCCGATCCCGAGGGAGCCAAAGAGGTGACCACGAAATGGAAGAGCCATACGCCTAAGCCTGTTGCCCAAGTGAACGTCTTGGTGGGGTCTCTCAGCATCGATAGGTTGGCCATGTGGGTGTTGCAGGATTTCCGGTATCTGAATAAGTCAGCACTTGATGACGGCAAGTGCCGGACTGCTACTGAGCAGAAAGTTTATAGACAACAAAATCCCAAGTGAGAGGGGAAGGTCCATCTGAGTTCAACACCGTCCCGCAGGTTCATCGTTCACAAGAGCGCCCAACAGAGGCTACAGGAGGAGGAGGCTCGTCGTGAGCACTCGCTGCCGGCAGATTTCGTGTAAGGGTTGTTGGTGATGCCTGGTGATGGTTGAGAGTTGGTGAAGGTATGGTAAGAAGACACGACCGAGCACGCCGATCTCGTACGTTATATCCAACCAGTTCGGCTTGGTGAGTTTGCCGAGAAGAGTTTATAAGGCGGTCCTTAGGAGTTCTTCGTACAGAGCTATGTAGAGTGATACGAACGCAGTAAAGTGTGTTTGAGTTTGACTGCTGTATAATAGTTGTTATTATGCATTTATCGAAAGGCGTGGTATGAGAAGTATTTATATGTATAATATATGTATAGTATATTATGTATTTATGATAGAAGTCGGAGATGTTGACGGAGGCGCGGTATGAGAAGTTATTATATATATTATTATACGAGCCGTATTATATGTATTGTTTTTACTTATATGTATAGTATTAATATATGTCTATATTGATAGGAATCGGAGATGTTGACAGAGGTGCGGTATGAGCCGTATTATATGTATTGTTTCTACTTATATGTATAGTATTAATATATGTCTATATTGATAGGAATCGGAGATGTTGACAGAGGCGCGGTATGAGAAATTAGTCGAGGAAGAGGAGAAGGCCAGAACGCATTGCCAGCTGAAGATCAAGTCTACTAAAGTGGGGTCGCCCTCGGAGGTATCGTGTTCTACTGTAGTCTTAGGCGGCTAAGGCGCATGCTGCCATCGGTGTGAAAGCGGCTCATCGGAAGAAGAGCATTGGAGATGGCGGAGGGGAAGAGCTGTTTAAAATGACAAAGTTCAGGAAGGTGTGGTAGGAGGAAAAGAAATTGGTTAATTTTATGCGATAGGTACCAGCGAGATGGCACCTCCCCAAGGGAGCTAAGACTAGAGAGGCCATTGTACAGCAGGAGGAGGAACCTGTTGGTGAAAAAGAAGGTGGTTGGAATTTCCCTGGCCTAATGATCACCTTGTGCATGAATGTTTGTATGATAGGTGACGAGGAAGAACATACCACGTGAAGCGTTGAGAGGATGTGTATATGGCCATGGGTTGATTGTCGCTTAGATGTTGAATATAATAATAACAGGCTGATTTGGGTTAACGAGTTCGGAAGAATACAGTAGAGCTTATGGTGGAGTTTCACCACTCTAGTGATATGAAAAACATACTTCACGACTACTGCACATCACCGCGAATATCGGGTTTTTCACAGAGTATTACGCCACTTCTCGTAAAACGGGTGAAACTCCAATGTTCGTAGGGCTTGGTGTTATGAATTTACTATGGCTTCTATTCGCTCCGTTCATGAGCACGGAGGAGGGTAGACCCCAAGTCGTCCATGTGTGGAATGCCTCTGAACCGCTCCACGTTGAACTCGACAATATCTTTCTCTCTCCCCGGGACAGTGTAGACTACTTTCGACAGTCCTCGGGTTGGCCAGAAAAGGATCTTTATATTGACGCCCGTAGATGCCAGCGAGCTCGGCAGGTTCAGATTGATAACGCTGATCGCCTGGAGTGCGTGGCGAAGGTCACAGCATTTACGACAGAGCTCTTGGGAAGGGTCGGCCTTGATGCCTTCTTGATTCACGGGAGTCTCCTTGGCTGGTATAGACACAACGGTGGGCAGATTCCCTGGGATCTGGATGGTGACACGGCGGTGATACGATCGCAGTGTGAGGAGGTTGTTGGTCAATATGAAGGCAAGGCGATCTGTGATGTGATCAGTGAGAGTCTTCCGGATGGGTACTTTTTGTATGCTATTGATACCGACGAAGTGGTCCATCCAAGTCCCAAGGGCAGCGACTTTGCTGGTTGTGATGTTCCTGAACTGCGTGTTGGTGCCACGATCGATGGTCAGTGGTGTCACACGGATGTATTTATGCTAAGTGACGACGCTGATGATGGTTTGTGTGTGCCTGGTAAAGCTTGTTTTCAAGAAGATCAAATACTGCCTCTGAAGAATGCATCGTCGTTGGTTGGAAAATATCCTGTGAAGATTCCCGCGCAGCCGGAAGAAATTCTCTCGGGCCTTTATAATGAGCACTACGGCATCATGAACATGCATGGTGTGCCCAAGAACTATGCCTTCCAAGACGACTGGGCTATCGTCATCGGTGATGAACTTGACGACACTTTCAAAAACCGAGTGATGGTAGATCGTCCTCGACTATATGAGATGCTCGCAACTGTGATCGTTCCTGTTGTCATGTGTTGTGGGGTTTTGTATATTGTATTTCACAACCGCCGGCGAGAGTCAGGCTTTATCAAGCTGAGATGAAGTATGGCTTTGATATCGTCACTGTCCCCCCCTTGTGTCGTATTATATTTATAATACTTTGTTCGTAGTGTGGAGAAGATGTCGCCTTCTTGTACTACTGCTATAGTCTATAGCTAGAATACTGTGTTAAGAGCAGGGACCAGTCTGTCACCACAGTTTGGTCACACGAGTATACCAATAGCCGAGCACGAGGCATCATAATCTAGGGCAATCTTGATCAGGCTAAGCTGTAGCTACTGGGTTGTTCAATGAGCTTATGGCTAGCATTGCTCGAGTCAATTCTGAGAAGCTGGCCTTATTTGATATGGTTCGAGTTTGATGTGACTGGTGACACGCTGCACTCTTGTAGCGGGTCACTAGTGACTGCATGTGTGAGCTATTGGTTACTCGGACATCCTGTGAGTGCGGGAGTCACTTTTCTCATCGCAGAACATTATGCATTCTATTTTCGCTTTAGTCGACTTAGTGGGGTAGTCTCTCGTGTATCGTGTTTGATGATATACGTTTTGAGTTTTGATCACTCCGTCAATTTTGAACCCTCGACGCGTTCATAATCACTCGGCAAATACGGGTGCGTTAGCGTTTTCCTTAGTTTCGCCGTAAAAATTCTGCGATACCGTAACGTGCTATGATATGGCTTGTGAAACCGTGAGCGTTCTTAACGATCCACGACATGTGATGGTAATTTTGCCCATCCCAGATTCACTGTGATCAGTTCTGCGATACGAGGCCGTCGAAAACAGTCCTATCAGAATTGGCAACAGAGAAGTGTCAACATCTCCATTGCCCGAACAGCTCCAACAGGCAAAAGGTTGCCTCCGTTGTTCTCCGTTGCCCAAAAGGACCGAACAGCTCTCGAAGAAATTATCCCATCGTCACTGAAATGCCCATCAGCATTCCACGTTTGCCATTTCGTTCATATCTACTATATGGCGTCGTCAACAGCGCTGCACCTCTCGTTCGGTGACGGAGGCTTCCACGCTTTAGACAACATTTCTCTATTGGGTGCTGGCTTACCTCATGTTATAATAGAGAAGATCCTTGCCAGCGCCGACACGGCTAGACTAGCGACACTGGGTAAGCTGTTCTCGTCTAGTCGAAGATGGTCACAGTGTTTCTCAATTTTCCGATTCCTGATCCTGATACTGCATCTTGTGGGTATTTGATGTTAACCCTCGGGCATGCTAAGGACTTGTTGGCCCACAGAAGCGAGGCTTAGCGTCATCAAACTCTGTTCGGTAAATGCTGCATAGATATACGGGGAAACGAGATAGACTATCAACTCGCCAACGAATTGGCGAGGAAGTTCGGGCTGCCGTCACAGAGTATGATCGAGTGCAACGGCCTCCCGATACGTGTGAGACGCTCTCTTGTGATCGTCCCGTGATGGTTTTTGCTGTTGACAGGCATTGGTCACGAATGAGATAAGAAAGCTACACCTCAATGGCTTCCGTGGTCGTCATCCCCTGTTTGGGATTGAGGTAGGGAACTCCACACAGTTGATCCTTACCCACATCGAAGAGCACCAATTTCGTTCACGGAATAGCAACACGTTCTTGTGATGTGCGTGAACGTATATAGACTTTATATTATACTATAAGACACTAGCAAGCTCACTAAACTGATGTGAAGTGGAAAGGGTTCCTCTCTACAGGCATTCGGAGGTCATATTTTGGCGAGTCTATTGCCTGGTAACACATCGTTGATCGAGATAGACTTCCGGCAGAACGAGGTAGGAACGCGCCCAGCTGCCTTGGTGAACAGGGGACAACTAGCGAGAGAAGTTTCACTGACAATTCCTTCCACATCATCTGGGTTATACTCAAGTCTAGTAGGCGTATCGACTGGCTTCAGATCGGTCTCATAGCAGCCGCTGAGCTTGGAGAGGCATGTGCAAAGAGCCAAGTTCGTTTCGTCAACCGCATCGGGTGTCGTAAGCGACCCGGATATGGCACGCCTCTAGACCTGAGAAAACTCCGCATGTCCGCAAGACCTAAGCTGAGCTTGCCGAGTAATCCTCCTCCCATGCAGAAAGTCGTAGCTTGATTACATCAGATGATCTGGTTACCGATGAGGAGTTTGCCTTCCTCCTCGCGTATCTTCGTGACACCCTATTGGTAGAGATCGATGTGTCTCATAATGCGGCTATCACGCCAGCCGTATGCCAATGCTTTCTGGAGTAACCATGTTTTGGCCGAATTCTTGTACAATTGAACAGGTATCTGGGTCGTGGCAAAACGAGGACCTTGCGGAGACTTGCGTTCGCTGGCCTCTCCTGGGATGACGCCTCGGTGGTCTCATTAGTGGACGCGATCGGACATGCTTCTCTGCTCGAGCTAGAGGAACTGTCTCTCCCATTGCACTGTGGCCTCAAAGGGTAACTCCTTACTATTGTCATCCTCGATTAGCAGTGGTATACTAGTGAGTCATTTGGAAATCGGATTTGTCGATGCCTCCCGTCGCTGTACGCTTGAACATGTCAGTTCATGAGGGAACTGTAAGCTTCAAACTCACTCGCAACGTCACGTATGTGGTTTATCCAAACACTGAACTACAGTCACTGGAGTTATAACGTCGCAGTCAATCACAGTCAGTAGAGCAGGCATTGCGCTAGAGCCACAACTACGATTGCATTCCCTGGGACTTGCCTGATAAACCGGATACCATTCTCATATGACTTGTGCCGTTATGGAAACCTCATTGCTCATTTGCGTATCGTACACGTTGATGGACCAGAAATATCAGCGAGAGCTGCATAACATTGTCGACTACAATGAGTTATTGTCAGTAACTGTGCGAAATTTCAAGACTGCGCAACTGCGCGTGAGGCGTCTCCACGCCTGCGACATTATTTCAGGTCAACTCTAGCGCACGTAGCACATACCATTGCTAGCTGTTATCCGACCATTACTTTCGGGGAAGCATGCTATTCACTCAACGCTATACGATTGTCTAACACAGTAAGATCCTTTAGCCTTTCGGTCGAGTGGGATTGATCAAAAACAATATTGAATCCAGGGGAACCGGACTGTACGTGTTTGCAGTTATCCCTGTCAATACCCAGCGGAGCATCTTCTGCAGAGTTTGCGGTGTGGTCATTGATTCTTAGAGAGCTGCAGCCGGAATGCCTACGACAGCTACTCGTTGTATTGGACGAGGCATCATCGGTGGGAGTCTCATGTTCGTGCTTGAGTCGATTGAGGTGTGGTACAGAGCACACGACCGCCGCCAGCGCCCAGTCATCACCCGTTGGTTTATTGGGCCGTCTTGGAGGCCTTACGAGCTTTGAGCAACTGCAAAGGTCTAAAAGTCCTCACGATAGCTGTGCATCCAAGTACTTGTTTTCATCTCCGTCGGACTAGTTTGAAGCCAGAGAGCTTTTGTGTGTTCATTCCATACGCCAGTGCTTCTCAAGTAGGTATTGCCAATCTCCCGGCTGTTCTCGTAGACTCGCTCGAAGCCGCCAAGTCTACGCTGAGGGAGCTTGAAATATCATGTCGGTGAGCCTGATGTATGCCTATATTGAACTGTACAATCTTGTAAACTGACTCCTACAGAATACAGTTATAGTTGAACCCGTCTGACACTCTGAGAGCGCGTGAATCTCAACCACATTCTCTGAACTGGTCAAATGATATATACATCTCATCACTGCCTTCCCTTGACTATCTGAAGCTCCCTCATCTGTTCGTCTCTCTACTTACCTGCTGACGAGATGTCCCCGGCCTCACACTCCAGCCACATTGAATGTCTCATGCAGATTTGAATTACATCGACCTTCCGCCGAGCTCAACATCTCCCGAAAAAGCATATCTCGGTCCATCATGGGACTTCCTGACGGGCCTACTCATCTCGATGCCTTGTTTACAACGTCTGAACGGGGTGAGTATAGAACTATCAATGGTGGGAGTTCCACAGATCAGAGTTGTCCCGTAGCATCTGCCACTCAATGGCTCGGGAAACGGATCAACGTTCGGCAGATACCCCTTCCGGTATTCGACGACCAAACAAGTCAAGAGACACGCGATGTGACCAAACTGATTTATTACTCGCTTGCTATACCTAACATCAGCGTGGAGGTGGTTGATCCCACCGAGCCCTCGTCGCTCGATGCTCGCCTTCTCAGCACGACCCTGGAGCTTTCTGTGTCAGCATAACCCTATCTCCTCACTTCGACATGGCCGAAGCTCTCGTTGCATGCTTGAATCTCACCGAAAGCGGCCATGTATTGGCGGTCTTGTGCATACACGGAAAAGGTCAGCAGTACACATCTTTTTGGACCGTAATCTTAATACCAGATGCGGAAACACAATTGAGGAATCTTTTGAAAGCTATAAAGGAAGGCCTCAAAATGCCTCGGCTGGGATGCCAGATAGCTCTCGTACTGAACCGACCAGTCCCGGTATCTGCTATGGAAAGTCTGTATCACGATGCAATCACCTCCGGGAGGGTGACTGGACTGCCTATATGTGGGTACTCACTCATTTCTCGTCAACAAGAGATGACTCTCAGTCCCTGACGAAAGTGTTCCCGCTCTGGAAGCAGCAGTCCGGGGTGAAGGGGGCATGGTGCTGTCTTTAGAAAGATTATACATAACGAGAATGACAGGCTGGAAAGGAGTTCCCCTCGCTAATCTGCGAAAGGTACCACTAACATTCCAGTGTAAAACTCAACTACTGCCTCACTCAGCTCTTGACGTGTCTATGCACACCAAGGCATCCCTTCAAATGCCTTCACATCTGCTATGGCCATGAGAGCCATCGGTACTTTGAAAAGTCAGAGCTGATTGGGATGCTCCATGGTCATAGGCTAGAAGACATTTTCTTTGTCCGGAAATCAACCGAGGTGCGACTCGACCTGCAGTGCGGTGCGGCGTCATCAATCCTAAAGGATTTGATCTAGGTCTTGCCTGCAACTGAGACCGGCCGTCACATACTAGCGAGAGGATTGAAACTCTCTCTAGATGCCAGTCGTCATTACAATAACTTGACGGTGCTCAACTTATGCAACTGCAATCTCACGAGGTACGCCCACTCGAGGGGATCTCCACTGTTGACGCTTTTCAGTGTGACCCTCGAGGATCCTCTCCTGCGGCAACCCGGAGCTTGGCAGAGCTCGATGTAGGTATCGCCGTAGATTGACGAGCGTTCTGCAGATGTTGAGGATATTCTGATGCGCTAACTCTTCACACCTAGTCAACTGTACACAATCGTGTGTGTTCTCATGATGAACCATAGCCCAGCCGCTGCGATGACCTGCGCCACTGTTCTCGTTTAAACCGTTACGATCTCCCATTCTCGCCAATAGGAGACGGCAGATGAGCCTATGAAGATGTCCGTAGCGCGTATTTGATGTATTTATCCCCTACGTATATACCATATAGAGTATGCATATGGGTGTATTTGTGTGGCAGTTACTCAACCAGATGGCTGGAGTACGAGCGTCATCAGGATGAAGAGGAGTTGCGAGGTTGGCTCGTGCAAGTAAGATAGCAAGCGAACTACTCTGTCCTACGGGTCGCTACTGTTATGCAGGTCCTTGTTAACATAGTACTGCTGCCAAGCCTGGAAAGCATCGATCTTCGTGGAAATGGCTTTTCTGTGGAAGAATCCAAGTCCATATGGGCTCCACTGCTCTCAGGCCTGTTTGGAAGGAGCCGTTTACAACGCGTCCAAGGTGTTGCGATTAAAGGAGTGAGACGAATTTTCCTCACGTTTATAAGTGACGCAAGCTGAAAGTCTCAGGTTACCGGCAAGTTAGACCTCCGTCCGCCTGAAGGAGTGAGGGAAAGAATCCTTCTCTCTTCCGGTCACCACCTTAGCTGACTTCCGTTTTCAAGAATGTGTCTATTTACAGGCGACGTCTGGGTGTATGAGAAGCTGATTGGATTGCTCCGAGACAAACAAGTCATCACCGGCGTATCCATGCAGCGATTCGTATTCGAGGATGGGGACTGCTCCTTAAGGCTCCTGGAGACAATACTCTCTGGAAGTGTGGAAGAACTTGAGATCATAGACTGCTTGATGGGACCGCGGTATTCGTCCTGAGAGAGGGATACCATATCGACTAACTTTGCCTCAGTGTCTCCCGATCAATGTGGACGATTTTGCATGACAAACTCGTGAGCGCCGAAGCATGCCTTAGGACTTTCAACGGAATCACTATTGACGGAAGTTCAGTTCCAAACGCAGCGAGTTGCTCCGAATGGAATGATCTGAGGCGAGTCCAACATACGAAAAGTTCCCCTTATAAATCAGTTTATTCAGTCTGGCCCTAGTCGCTGCTGGGCAGAGTAAAGGGCTTCCTCCGTCGTGCTGCATAAGTGGCGAGAATATAACCGATTTCGGATTGGCCAAGTTTGCCGAGCTTGTCGGAGCAGGGTAAGCTGAGATTTCATCTCCAGCTCTGGGTAGCATGCTTCTTCCCTGCCGATTTCATATTTTGGTGTTGCGTGTTCTGAGCTGAAATTTCGGTTGTGATTAGACTTGGTGATGAATCATTACATGTCTGATTTGAACGGTGATGATGCGAGTTAATACAATTTTCCCTGAAAAAGAACGTTCCCTGATTCGAAAATCAACCACACAGCGCGAAGAGCTCATCCCTCTTGTCATAGAGCCCCAGACTGTGTGTTGTGCGCTAACTCAAACGGTCATTCCCGGAGTAGTCACTGCGAAGGAAGGTACTTTTCCCCTTAGATCCGTCATCGTTCCCCGAGACATGAACCTCGAGGGCTCTCGATATGTCACTGATTGGGGCGTCAAAACTACTGTCGATACTCTAATTTCCTCTCAAGCTGCTGCAGACGAGCTGAGGTAGCTCAGTCCCATGAGAAGAGGACCTGCATGTGTTTGAGAGAGAACTCGGTAGCCGCTGTGAAGGTCCATCTCTTTCGACAAGTGCCTTGCCATCAACGCACGGTCAGCTTTCGAACTGATCAGAGCGGCTCGTTCTCTCCCCAACCTGACAAAAGTCAATAGCTTCGATCTAGAGGCAGTCCGAAAGAGAGGAGAACTTGTACAATGAAGGTGTTGGATAAGAAAAGATTAGTTTCTCCCCCATCAGAGCGTGTATATCTCGGAAGAGAGGCCACTGTCAGCGATGAACGTTTTCCTAGCGTCGGCCGTGGCCGACTTAATGCACATCAATATAGCTCGCGTGGTAGTGGGCCTCCGCCGTAGGGACAAGGAAATCGAGGTAACGTCTTGTGAAAGGCGCTGCTTCTATCAGCTAAGTTCGCCTGCTTGACGGTAAACATTCCGATATGTTGGATCGAGTTGAATCTCTGTTGGCCATACAGGCAAGTTGTGGTTATCGATCAGGCAGACTGCTTGATGGGCCAGAGTCGAATGCTGCTGGAGAGCCTTCCGCTCAGCG